TAACGAAACGATAGCTACGTCGCATGCCTACGTCAGTGCAACGATAATGAATCGGAGCGACTTAATTAAAGGATGTTTTCACGGGAAAAAAGAATGTACCGACGAATCAAGAAACTCGAGCGTGCTACCCGTTTAAATTAAGGGCGGAAAGGGAAAAGAAATAAGAGGAAGTAAGAGCGAATGCCTCGAGATAATGGAAAGGTTGTGCGTCTGCGGGTATATTTTACAGCGTAGCGACGTATTTTGGAAATATTTCCGGGAATATTACTCGTGGGTGGATACTTCACCTAATTTATGTAATTACATTTCCACCCCCTGTCCAGCGCGGAAATAATATTAAAAGGATATTAAAAGAATAAGTAAAAACGGAATTATGTTGTTAAAGTACAATGCCGTTTGTGCACATATGGTAAATGTATTTATCACGCTCGTGTTGCGGAAGGTGAGCTTTCTTCCACGATATTATCGCGCGTATCTCTGACAAGGTAATTTGAAGCCATCTCGAGGGAAACACGTTATGACTAATGTACTTACCTTAGCTCGTAATATCTCGTTCTGAACATATCGGGTTGTGGTGTGTAAAAGAATTTACGAGCCGGACAAGAGAAATCAAAGCGTTGAATATTTATTGAAAACGAATCGCTATGTACAAACGTATTAAATACAGATGCGTGACATTTATACAGGATCGCAAGGGAAGAGGGACAGCCGGAAAGGTACATCTGATCGCGTACAATAGTCAATATGTCCGCCGATAACAATAGATAACTGGCCCTATACTAGCCACTGTGTGCAATCTGCTTATTTACAACCCATTTCGCAGTTTATATTTGCACGCAGAGATTGGCATGTGCCGTTTCGCCGTGCATGTCTAGCAGCCTGGAACGACGATATTTATTTGTTTAAAGGCTATTGTGAGCATAAGAGAAAAAGAAAGAGGAGGGGGGGAGAGAGAGAGAGAGAGAGATAGAATGAGCATGCTCTTTACGTAAATTATTTGACAGACAACGGTAATATGATAGACGAGTGTGAACTGGAGATATATGACGAGTTCTCTACACAAAATCAATAAAAGCATTGCTTTATACCGCGCAATGTTTCAAATAACTTGAAATTTTACGAAACCAAAAGCGAACGCGAATATTTTGAAAGTAAAATCATAGAAATATTAAATTCATGGATTACTAATTAATTTTCTGTATTAAATTTTATGTGATACAGATTTTTATTTATTCATAATAAATTAACAAAAAATATTTAACAAAAATTATAATTATAAACTTTTCCCATACGTACTTTATTCGTGCGAGCAGTGGTTATCTGAGATCAAAGAATTCGAAATTGGCATGCGATGCATCCGAGCAATAACGATGTAAACGTGATGCAGGAATTTAATTCGATTTGTAATGCTGTTCCATCTCGTTCGATTCTATTGCGTATTTTAAGCAAAGATCGTGTCTCTCTCGGCTGATACCTCCTCGATCGTATTGAGAAACGAGCGCGAAGAATGAATAGTGAGGGATGAGGCGAACGAATGGGGAAAGGGATGAAAAAAAAGCATGGCCGTGTGTTTCGTAACGAAGGCAGCAGATATTAAATTCCATCGGCAAACGCGGAATCCGCGTGTACTCGGAGCGTCCGAGTTTCGACTTTTGTTTGCGTCTAACGGCGAGAGGCGAGTGTGCGATCGGGCCGCTGCCATTGGCTGCGTACGCATGAAAAATAGAGCTCGTTTGAGCTGGTAAAAGAGAGAACGCGTTGTTCAACGAAAATCAGACTCCAGCGAACGTGGTACGCTCGAGCGATGCCCGAATAAATTGTGTAAATCTTTTTCGTTCGCCAGAGAAATGGTAAAGTTCTTTTCTCATTGAATCGTATTTTCGTACCACTGCCGAAGCACATTTCGCGATATTGTCTTCTTCGACATATTGGTCGATGCATTGAATTGTGTTACGTATTAGGCGATTAAGTGACGTGTTTCGTCCGAGTTTCGAGACAGTATAAAATCCCATCATATAAATTTTGCAAAAACTTACTGTTTTTCTCACTCTTTGCTATAAATCTTGCTTACCATTCGTACTATTTAAAGTATCTTAACAATTACGCTGTATATCAGTTTGTAAATATCACTGTACGTGATTTACAAGGCTCTTAATTTTGCAGCCTAATCCACTTTCGACCATCTCGCCGACGCGCTCATTGGAAGAAATGCGTATAATGCGAGATCAGAGTCGATGCATTTACAACAGTTAGAGTTTCGTTATTAAAAATTGTACAAAGTGTTTTGTTTTCCGTCCGCTTAATAGATTATCGCTATGTTGAGAATAAATAGTCGGCGGAGTTAATTCGATTACGTAATAATCTACAATAATTTTCACACTTACGGTTTTCTCTGAACGTCAAGGAGAATACTTCCTACAGAAAGAACTGTCATTATAAATTGACTTATTAAATTCAATCACCATTCGAAGTAAATAGAGATGACGATATGTATACGATATGTCGAATTTTCAATGATAATTATGGAAGATCTGTCATTAGAAAGATATGTCATTATGTTTCTTTTTTATATAAAATAAATTATATTTTCGTTAAATATTAACGATATAATCACATATTTTATGCAATTTTCTCTTCAAATAAATAAAGCGATTAATATAAAAAGTTATACGCGGAAGATTCTAATTTTACATTTCTTTTTGTAGGAAGAAGTATATATATAACGTAGTTTAAATCACGTTCGATCGGACAGGAAGTTTCAGTCTAAAATTATCATTACATATTCTCTTCCAAATGATTATATATACATCAGCCCTGTAAAAGATACATCCGCGAGTCTTGCAGGATCGAACGCGTTTGGATTCTTCTGGCAATCATACCATTTACATACATTTGAAAATGTTGAACATAGATATATAAAGAATTAAGTTAATTCATAATGTATTTAATCGTTGGATCTGGAATTAAAAGGTCGCGACCTATATCACTCGATATATTCGTTTTCGCTAACGCAGTGGCAGTAGTCCTTACAATATTCTTAACTTTATATATATTAAGTGATCAACATAATATCAACATTAGAGACTTTTCATTGTTACAATTAATCAAATTATAATCGAACGAAATTACATAAAATGTTCTTGATTCGTCATTTATTTGTCATTGTCAATTTACATAAATCATGATCTACATATTAAATTTTTAATTAGTTTTTTCTGAATAATGTTTAAATAATGAGAAAGGAGAAATAAAAGAAAAAAAACAACACTATTGTTAAAGGATATAAAAATAAAAAAAAAAGATATTTTTATTATTGGGCTCACGTTTATCTTTTAAATATAATAATCTTTTAAACTTATTAAAATAAATTCCGCGAACATAAAAAAGAACGAGAATTCTTTTCCATAATTGTTTAATCTACATATATATATATATATACATATATATATATATATATATTTATTCTACTCTTAATTATCTTACAGATCACGAGCATGAGTCCCTTAGCCTGTGCGAGGCAAGGTACCTAGACAACAATCGGAATTTAGGTGACGTGTACAAGTTTTTGAACGTCGGAATATCTCTGCCATGTTTCGCACAACTATTGTTTTCCTTTCGCTACACGTACAGAACCATTCTAACAAGTATATAAGTCTTTCAATATTTCATACTAACGATAGCTATTTACCTGGAAATGTCTTACTGCTGAAATATGTGAAACATGTCGGTTTGAATAGAAAGACAACAAATTCAGAGAATAAATAATAATCTGAAAAATTTGATCGTCAAAATAAATAGTTCAAATCAAATATTTATTATCTAAAACATTTATAATCATATTCAGAGAGTTGATTGGATTTTTACGCGTATCAAATCAAGCAGAAACATTTACCGGGTAAATCGCCCATCTCTATTCCACACTATAAACTTAACATCAGGTCACATGTGCTCCTTTTTTCCTCCTAGAATCACGATACATCCGTCTTACGGCTTTTGCCGAAGTCGAACAACGGGGCACGAGAGAAGTTTTGTGTACCGATAGAGTTAACGATCCTAAAACGATTATGCGATACAACCGCCAATAGAATGACGGTCTTATAATAATCTAATAATTTACATTGTCGATTAATCCTTCAACATTCTTTACACACTTTATATGAATTTATACTGCAACCTCTAATGGTATTGTCAAACATTTATGCACTTCGGCTAAGCGCATCTTAAGCTTAAGAGTAGTTTAAGGGAACTTAACGAAAACTTAACGCGGCTTAAGATTACCTTTTCCCGTACTCTTTGAAAAATGCTTCTTGTACGGTACAATGATTAATTTTACAGAATGTTCCTTTTAACCCATTTCATAATTTTTTGTGCATTGATAAGCTCCTTGAAGCGACGTTCGTATAATTCTTTCTACGTCACTATGGCGAGTGTTCAATTAAAAAGTTAACGAGAAATCTTCGTCCAACTGAATTGGAGGGAAAGATATTGGTCGTGCAATTAAACGGTTGGAGGAACGATAATTAGCCTGTTTTTATATTTTGTCTTCTTGAAGACGATAGCTTGAAAAATAAAATGGGGCAAAGAGTATACAAGCAGTTAAATATCATCGGAAACACATTGATTTATTATAATCAACTCGATCGTATACGCTTATAGATTTTGCTTTCCTAAAAACAACTCGCTTAATTGTCTTAAAAATGGCATATGTATACGTGTATATATTTGTATCTAGATTTTTGAAAAAACAAATTTTTTTCCAGGACACGTTTACGAAACTAACATATAAAAGGCCCGAGAACGGATAACGTAATCCCATCATGAAGATCAGCAAATTTCGATCTTGCTTCGATAAAAGTCCATTTTTTCGAGGATCGAAGTTTAGAAATGACTACGTTATTCGTCGGTGGACATGTTACGTACAGCTCGCGATTTTCAAGTCCGATCCACGTATATCCCGAACGTGACACGAGTGCCGTTACGGCGCGAATATCATAAGCTTGTTTGCTGACAGTATCAATTTCGGAACAGCGTATGTGCGATTTATCGAACGTGCTCCCCTCGTATTGCCAGCACTAGTAACGTTCCATTTCGTATCGAATGCCACGGATCAAAATCATAATCTATCCATTTCAATTGCGCGAGCGTGGATATGGTATCGTAGAGACTCGGTATCATTATTATGGGGCTATCCGTTTTGGTCAACGCGTAACTTCTGTAGGCGATTGATAAAAGAATAACGAGCCAAGAAATAAAAGAGAAACGAGAAGAAGTTGCACGAGAATTAGCCAGAAGATCGAGTACCTATCACTTTATATAGTTAAGCGTATATAATAGTTCATAAATTTTCAATAATACGTCAATTAAATGATATATATGTACAAAAATTAATATCTCGTAGATTAAAAATAGTGCTTATAAAAAAATTAATATTCTATTGTCAAGCACTGCGCATTGTTATGCGTATTTCGGAGAAATAGTTGTCGATCTACCCGTAGTAACGGTCTGTAGATTATATTCGTGTAAAGGAATCATTAAAAAAGCGAATTTTGTAGACAATGTCTTGTAGTTTGCACACGGACAGTTTGCGTTACGGCGACAGTGATTTGTGCGGTTCATACCGGTTATCGATTAAATTCACAGCGCTGTTCACAATGTATGGCGACCAATGTACGGCTAAAAAAAGGGATATTAATATCGTGAACCGTCAAAAGTCTGGGCGCGATTAGCTCATATATCAGACTCCTATATCTTCTTCTCGCACGTAAGTGTCACCATACGATATAGTTATCATCAGCACGATGGACGCGTCCGACCATGCCATCACAAACAGTTTACGTTCGTTATAGCCGATTTATGGATCGTCATCCTAGATACTAACTTGGTCTGACTTGGTCTAGCTTGGTCGATGAAGGGCAGTTCCACCAATTGCCATTTAATTCGCCAATCATAGAAAGCCGGATAAGGTTCCAGCCTTCCAGTTCTCTATATCAAGTATCGTTCGACTCACCGGGTTTATAACCGAGATTTTTTCGTTGCAGGAACAGGTGAATCTCGCGAAAGTTTGGTCGGTCGACGTCGTTCCTCTGCCAGCATTCGCGCATCAGATCGTAGATCTCTTTGGGACAGTTTTTTGGCAGTGGTAGTATCATCTGTATAAAAATAACCGTAAGTCGAATCTAACGTTATCAGTTATGTAAAGTAAGGTACAATTTCAAACATGGTACAATTCTAAACGAAATAAAAGTTGAATCCAATTTTCGAGATTCAAATTTGGTAACTCTCTCATTGTGTGGTGAAGGGTATTGAAGAGTACCAAGCAGGAAAAATCAAACTTCAACCTCGAAAATTCGATTCAAATCTTATTTCAGAATTGTATCATGTTTGAAATTGTACCATCTTATCCTATATATCGTTAAACGTATTTTGTATATAATACATAATCAAAGCGTTGACATATTTTTGCGTTATACCAGAATAAAAAACAGATTGCTCGCGACGATTTCATTATAAATTTAACACGATATTACAGAAATAAATGGCACAGACATAATAAAAATATTTTGCTCACGTAATTAATCACAATATTTGTTATACAATGAACTGTTCGTAAATATTAACAAACTCTCTCTACAACACCGAGAGAGTATACAATAACAATTCTTACAATGCGCGTGTTGGTTTGAAGCACTCTTGATGTTGGGAAAATGAACGCGTCGGGCTCGAGTGCGACGCAATATTTATTACATTATATGAATTACTAAGCAAGTAGTTCTGCCATTTTCATGGAAACACACTCGCGTGACCCACTTTTATAATTACATGTTCGACACCGTGCGTTTATTTAAACCTGTTTTTTTCAACGATGTTAATTGTCCTACAGTTAGTCTTAGAGAAACAGGACACGTTCAGACTACTCTTGAAAGAAGCTACGTAAAGAACAGAAAAAAACGTAGTAAGAATCTAACGGAGTAAGGTAATCAGAAATCTGAAAGACGGAATAAATAGCGACGTTCAAAGCCTTGAAAGCTTCGTGAGGCACTCAATGCGAAATCAAGTACTCACAGTGCACTCATTACATTAAGTACATCGGACACAATGAGGGAAAGAAGTCGAAGAATTACTCCGCGCACTTACCCTTCGCTCATCCTCTTGATAAAAGTAAGTCGCATTCTCCACTATTCGATGATCCGGAAACTCCTCGAATGGTTGCTCCCGCGCGAATGTCAGTATTTCCCACAGCGTGACGGCAAACGCCCAGACGTCGCCCTTGCATGTGTGTCTTCCCTGTACAATGTAAACACATCCAAGAAAATTTTACAAAAGTTCGTTTACTATATTCATTAGCTCTGGCAGCTTTTACTATTTGCAGCTTAAGAGCGCTTGGAATTTGTTGAGCATTCTGATATAATTGGATAATTATATATATATATTGTATATATGTATATATACATACAAGATGCTCCACTTAAATCTAACATCTTGAATATTTCGGTTATTTTCGATAATACAAAAAAATATTTCAAACGAAAATGGAACGGTTTCGAGGGGGATGTATTTTGATCATGTTGTTTTTTTCTAGGTGGAGGCATCAAAAAGATATGAAAGTCACCTCCACTTTTTAAAATGGAATTGTATGATTTTTTTTTACACAATATGATTCCTCTAATTATTCTGCATATGTAAAAGTATTAAGGTAATAATATCAAAAAACCAATAGTTTATGAGATATTTTACACTTTATTCTGGCACATATTGACATAAAATGTTAAATAATTCGTAAACTATTAACTTTTTGATAATCATACTTTAATACTTTTATGAACAGAATTCCATTCCATTGCATATAATTCCATTTAAAAAAGTGAAGATAATCTTCATATTTTTTTAACGCCTCTACTTAAAAAAAAAATCAACATGACTAAAATACGTCGAAACCCTTCCACTTTCATTCAAAATATTTGTTTATATCATCAAAAATAAGCGAGATATTTCAGATGGTTTAAGTGGGTCACCCTGTATATAGTATATATGTATGTATATATATATATATATACACATATAGAATCTGCATCGTTTGTATAAAGATGATTTAATGTAAAGTAACATTGCGACAATATAAGTATAAATTTTGTTTTTTCTTATACGAATTCAAGTTAATGTCTGTTTTTTTGTAAGCCGCAAAAATAATTAAAAGCGCGACATGCCCGACGCAGAAATCTAATGTTTGAGCGTGAAGGAGTAATTTATGGAAACTGTATGCGCCTTCGAGTTTCCCAAAGTTCAACCGAGTAACTCAGTTAAGCCCAAGCTTCGCGGAAACGCCATAAAGCAGTTACACAATTTTACTCTTTTCCTTACATTGACGGTTGGATGTATCTTCCGCTCCCATTGGCATGCGTATGACCCATCAAGCAAAATAATTATATATATATTAACGGCAAGTTGTATAAAAGCTTTAGTAGCTCCAAGTTTTAATTAATATCAGCGCTACGTTTATACAAACATAACGTTTTCTGAGGAAATATATAGGAAATAAATGTGTATATATAAATTATATAAAGATGTAAATAATTATATTATTATTATCAACAAAATTTAAAATAAGCTTGTGAAGAAGAACGTTTCAAATTACTTACGAGAAAAATATATTTTAACAATTATAGAAAAAGTCAATGAAGAAGACATAAAAATAAAATATTAAATAAGAGAAGCAATCGTGAAAGACCTTGCTGTGTAATAACATCGTAATTTTAAATCGATTTGCGATTAAATGATTGTGTACTTGATGTGAAATTACCGCAACTTAGGTACTTAAATTACATAATCTCTGCTGCCGGTAATACGCTGAGAAGATTGCACATGTGTGCAGAGTTTGTAGTTTGCGCATGTTCAAGAGGATCTTAAGACATGATTCGATTATTTATGAAGTACGTGATACAAAATTACATGCGCATCATTACTTGTACGTTACTTCAAATTGTTGAAGCTAAATAATGTGCGCGCGATAAATAACGTTTTATGCACAAGCAAATCAGTAATAACAAAGTTATCCTTCATCGTTTAATATAATAGAAAAAAAAATGAAATAAAAAAAATGTTATTATATCCTATACATAATAATAAATTAACGTTCTTCTATTAAAAATACTGTCATGTTTTATTTGACACTTCTGTAAAAAATATTCTGAATAACAATAAATTAAACATGGTGGAATCGCGTTTTAACAAACTCTGTGATGCGTAATCTTATAAAGAATGATTTCCATGATCACAAGATCGATATGAAACTATTAAATCGACGGTAATCCCGGATAATTTTTGAAACGGTATTTCGCGCGTAGAAACGGGATCGTTTCATTAGCGCGGCACAATGGTGGAGGTTGGATAAATGATGGGCAATAATGAAACATTAATGGCGCAGTCAGTTTGAAATGACGACGCCAACTAGCTATTCAATACTATATTTCCCAGCCTCATTTCTGTTTCGTCGAATGACCGTTTTGATATTAATTTGCCATTACACGCAGGTACAATAAATATACTATTTCCGCAAATGACGACAAAGAATAGAGTAGCGATATAATAATCTATGCACAGTTAGATACTAAAATTAAATTTTTTTATTATAATTCATTTTTCAAATGAAAAGATACTGAATCGTAAAAAAAGTGTAATATTTGATCTAACAAATTGAAACAATATAAAAGAATAACTTTATAAGTTTTAAAAGTATTAACCTATTCGCATCTTTACCTTTGCATAATTGTTTCCTAGAGATATATATTCCTAAAATTTTTCGTCATTAAATGGTCAAGTTTATAAATCTTTTATATTTTTAGATGCTTAAATGATTAAATATTTAAAGATCAGCACGTTAAAATCTTTATGAATTGAAATCTCACAAGTCGTTTTGTACAATTTTTTAATATTTAAATTAATGCGTCTCAAATTAAAAATATCTTATATTTCATGCTTAAATTATTAATCACACAAATATATTATTGTGATATGTTACTATTAAATATATAATAATAATAATAATTATTTGTTGCAATGTCTGATTACAGCCTGACTATAACGAGATTACTGATATAGCGCGCTCATAATATTTTTAAACATTAGCAAAAAAAATTTGTTTCTTTCACCAGGTCGACGCGTATATGTCTGAATTTTCGTGAAAAGTAAACGCGAGTATCTTTCATCGTCGTCCACATTGTAACGCCAGCGAAAACAGCGGGAACGCCATGTTCGATGCGTTAGTTTACGAAGCGGAACGATTGTGTTTGGATTGTCGAGCGGTTAAGCTGAAAAAGCCGCTCAACATCGAAAATGAATTTCCAAACGCGTATCGCATATTTTCTCCGACACTTTTATAGCTCAATGACGCGTATCGCGCAATGTGATGGGGCAATTCGCTAATACCAGCGTGACCGCAGACGACTCTATCAGTCTGATGTCGGTTTCGCGGATCGGCAATTCGATATTGGCAAGGACAATTGAGAAATTAAAAGCAAGATGTATTAAATGTATTAAATGAAACGTAAAACTTAATTTCCAATCCGGAAATAAGGTTTATTAGAGAGAATTTTTCTTACCTTTTATAAATAACAGACTTCGAAACTCTTTATTTTCCAATGGTTGAACAGAAATGCGACTCTAATGCGATTTATTTTGCGTAATGGGAAGGACAGATTAACAAGAAGAATAATCAATTACAATTTTAAATTAATTTTATCGCACATGGCTTGGCGCGTGGTATTAATACCAATTAAACGACATAATTGGCGAATTCGTTTAAAAGATGGAGAGATTGGCAGATGTATCATGTAATCTCGTTGGCAACAAAGTAATGCGCGTTTTTATGACTCATTTTATAATATACAGATCTTTGATGATTCATGAGTTGGAATATTTTTTCCGACTAATATTTCACACAACGCTTTCCATCTGCACATTTATAAATCTAAAGAGATGCTTCTTCATTACAGTATCTAACGATGATATGCATTTCTGACGGATAGCGAAAATGTCGACTTGGGTACTGCCGATATGTAATGGCGGATAGGGGTTTTACTTCCGGATGTGAAAAGCAACGAAAAAAAGTACGCATCGGAACAAAATCGAATTTCATCGCGTGGATGCGTAGCCGTAGTTCGTCAAAACGCCGCGTCCCACCCATGCGTAGATTTTAAAATCAAAGCGACCCGACACACGTTCTCGTTTTGTCTCTCTTGTCTATTTCGCTCGTTTACGAGCGAAAGTCGTTTGCGCCAATTTGATTTATCCTCTCTTTTTTTATTTATAATTCTATCGAACTTTCGCATCGCTGATCTTTATTGCCACTAACGCGCGAGCGCCCGTCTAAATCGGAAGCTTCCGGAAAAAGCGCACACGCGGAAAGCTATGCCGCGCGCTAAATCTTCTCATGCCCGAAGGTGAAAAATATCGAGAGAGGGAGGAAGCGAAAGAGAGATAAAGAGACAAAGTTAAAATATATACTGTTTAAATGTACAGTAAGCATTTATTGTATACTCACCATTAGCATTGATTCCCATGGCATCCATCGAATCGGTAATGGAGGACGTCCTTCGACACGGAAGTAATCCGCCGCATATGCGCTTCGTCCGCTACCCAAATCAGATACTTTAACCGTGCATCCGCGGCACACTAAACAATTTCTGAAAAAAATTCACAAATACTCGTCTCTTAATTTCTGTGAAGCACCTTTTTCATCCTACTGTGTAATATATACCGAAATATTTCCACTCGCGAATTTTTAACTGGAAAACAATAGAATTATTTTTTGATCAAATTAACACTTCCATTCTTTTTATTAACGCTGGCCATGAGATCTCTGCTAACTGTACAACTATGCAATATTCTATCGGTTCGTATCGGTTCGTATACTGCTAAATGAATATGTGTTTGTACGTTCTATTTTTTATATTCTGCATGTGGCAGCCATATCAAAAACAAACAGAGTAGTTTATCGAAATATCGTGCGAGCATAACTAAACGCTAGTTTTCCAGTTTATGATTTTTTTTTTCTGTACAATTGGAAATAGATTTTAAATTGATATTTTTTTAGTTTAATTCTTTATATCATTATAAATATATTCTACCTTTTAGTACATGTATCGACAAGACGTATCATAAAAAAAATTATAAAATAATTGAAGAAAATTAAAGAGATGAGAGTCTTTAAAATGTTAGAGAAGAAATTCTTCAATAATTAACGGATGAATTTCTTCAATAAAATACGGTGATTGTGGATGCGTGAAATCGCTTCTTGGAAGCTCACATTTAAGTAGTTCACAATAGGTTCGTTGCGAGCATGTTCCAAACGACGGTCGTTCCAAGTTTCGCGCTGATTTGCGCGTAAACCTCGTCGTTTATCGCGCTCTACGGTAAAGGGGTGATTCGTGAGACGACGAGGGGATGGTTTAGTAGCTGCCACGACGCTTTTATTTTACGCGCACCGGTGGGTATTTTCACACCCATTGTCAACGTCTGCGCCTTCCGGCTGATTTGTTGGCAAGTTTTCTACTTCTGGTACCATAAAAATCTTGCTCGTTCTTTTTTTGTTCTTTCGAGTATTCATATTTAATCAGACTGTTTTACAATTTTTAGAATCGCTTCGAAATCGTGTAAATTTGTGTATTAGTTCATACAATTTCAGTTACACACACACACACACACACACACACACACACACACATTTCCGTTTGAGATACATAAGAAAGACTGCGTGGGAATACGAAAAGAACAGTTTTGTTGAAATATTTAAAAGTTTAGACAGATATAAATCTGAAAATAATTTTCTTAGACCATCAAAGTAACATAACATGCTCAATATAATTGCTTAGAATGTCAAAATATTTTGCAATATTCATTATTCATTATCCTTGAGCATCCTACATAGTTATTTTGATAATCCAATGAAATTATTTTCAAAACTGTATCTATCTAAATTTTTAGATGCTCCAGTAAAATTCTCTCTGTACAAGATACATGGAAAAAATTCATAAAAATGATAAAAGATATCAAATATCTATTACGAGAAATCTGTAATATTCTAAGGAAATATATATACTTGAATTTGCGACACAAAAATAGATTTATTTTGGATTTATTATTCTTCATTCCCGTTCTGCCATTAATAATAATTCTCAGATATAATATCCATCGTTTATTTCTCAGTAGTAGAACTAGTATTCGCCGGTTGCCGCATTCACCATTAGAATTCAACCCTGAACCCACTTCTATAAATCACGAATAAATTGCGCCCCTTTCGTCTAGCTTCTTGTACCCTCGCTAAAGTCGCGACAACGATCGCGCCACGGGGCATGATAATTAAGGTTTACGATTAGAGTTAATAATTCGAACACACGGTCCAAACCCTTCCAGTCGTACCTATCTCATTCCCCCGCTTTTAATAGCTCTACCTACGATATTGGTTGTCGTGCCACGCTGCCGGCACTGCTGGGTTTCAAGAGTTTCCAAATCGTATGGAGGGTGGAAAAGCACGGTCTAGGGGTATGCGGAATCCATTACGTATATGGAAAGAGAATGAGACGATAAAACAATCGGCCGCCGTAATAAAGCAATCCCATTGTAATGCCCAGAGGCATGCTTTCGTACGCTTACAAAAAGATCGAATAGAGTATGCATTTGTTTGTTTGTTTGCTTGCTTGTTTGATACATGAAACGATTCCGTCTAGCGATCATTGCGAATCACTGCAGACAAATTAAAGCATTCGTCTGGAAACGAAATTAAGATTGGTGAAATTCAATTGATTTTCAAACAAAGGATGCAGGTGCAGTTATAATTGAATGTATTATTTTTAATTATTTCACTGAATATATGTAATTATTGTAATTATAAATATGGAAAAATATAGGAAAAATTGCATGAATATATGGAAAAAACTAATGTTATATTAACAGATGTTGCATTAGTTTAATTGAAAATAATTCAATAACAGCAATAATGAAACAAACAATATTTTATATTAAAATAAGAGCATAATATATTTATTTCATTAATATTACTTTCGTGTGTGTGTTTTTTGTATCTGAATTAACAAGATTATTTTCAATTAGAGTAATGCTGTTAATACAACATCATTTTTTCCATTTATCAATTTTTCTTAATTTTAAAAACCAACATATAAAAAGTATTAATGTCATATCTCAACAGTCTATTTGTTCGCTATGTATGAAAATGTTAAAAAATCGTCTCTTTCACATTTGTTGTAGCAACATAAAAAAAAAGGAATTAGCTATAGTACATCGGGAATATCATTTTATTCTACACATTTGCTCTCATATAAGCTTATCGGGGCGAAAGGAAGATTGACGAGTTCTGTGGTATATGTATTTAGTTTCGCTTTCAAGGCTGCAATAATATGGCAAACAACAGCTTGCTCATTAATGAGCAAGCCCTCAAAGCAACTTATGGGAAACAGTGCACGCTTACCTTGTGGCGAGATCCCGATGCACGAAGTCCATTTCCTCGAGATACTTCATGCCGGATGCTATTTGCGTGGCCATGTAAACCAATGTGCCGAAACTGCAACACGAAGAACGGGGTCGGTTACGCTGTGAAGTTTACTTGGAGAAACTCCTCAGTATACATAGAGGCGTTTGTAGCAAGCAACGCCACAAACAGCGGACACTCGACCGTACTAACTCAGCCGTAGTCAACCAACATTTTTGACGCAAGCAAAATAAGATACTCCCGTTACTTAAATTACTTTATAAAGTAAATCAAGGAATCCAAATTAACTTGTCATGCTCTTTTCTTTTATACATGAAGACATTACTTTGCCTTTTATAACTAAGAATGACATGAATTATTACAATGGAAAATATTTTTAAATATAGGTATATTTTTCCCATACTATTAAATTTATCATGTCAAATATTATACTCAGTTTAAGTAATTTTTAATCATCTGTATAGATCGCTATTACTTTTACTTAATGTCATTTAATTAAACTAAAACCACAGTCAAACAATTTAAATTAAGAAAATGTATTAAATTTGATTAAAATTTAGTTTATTATTTGCTAAGTGTATACGTTAATATGAACGTTGTATACTTTGAAACTAACCACAGAAATGGATTAATTTATATCTTACACACATAGAAATTAAATAATAAAATATTATTTAATTCAAGAAATTATTATCATTACTTCTAATAGTGCAAGTTGGAAATAAATAAGACATAAGTGTACATTTGATCAGTGTTAGAATTATATATATATATATATATATATACATATACATATAATATATATTTTCACTTGAAATTTGTAGCAAAAGAGATTGAAGAAGTTTATTCTTCAATATTTGTATACAGCAGATTTATTTTTGTATTGTTCCTATTTCTAACAAAATTGAATTTGAAAATGGGGTAAAGTGCGACGTAGGTACGTGTTGGTTACGATCGGGCGTTAGCATTCGTTCGTACTCGTTGAGGACGACGGTAGGTACTACGTTTTTAGTATTTACGTTTGTAGAATGCAAACCATTTACATCGAAACGACTCTGCGTGCTATTTCTACGAGAGATACGCCAATAGAGTCGTTTCGGTGGTAGCATATCGTCCTACACTTAACGTTGTTACGACATAACTGTAGATTTATATGTATATATATGAAACAAGAGCAATAATATGTAAAAAAGATTGCAAGAAGAATCCATATGTAATTGGTTAATGCGTCAATATATATATTTATCTTATTGGACAAATAAACGTTTGCTTTAGAAATTGGAGTATTCGAGCTCCCTGCTTACATTATAATAAGTACCTAATGTTTAATCGAACAACAGCATATGTATGAAAAGATTTTGCTGAAGTATCTAAAATTTTAGCTAGACACAAATCTGTAAATAATTTTGTTGAATCAAAATAATTGGACACTGATTTGCTAGAGTGTCGAAACTTTGTGCAATATTACTCATCATGCTTGAGATTCTTATAAAATTAATTAAAATTCACTCTTATAAAATTATTTGAATGGTTTAACAAAATTATCTTTAGATCTGTATTTAGTTAAATTCTTAGATACTTTAATAAAATTATTTTTTTCCGAATAAATCTCGCAATATTCGCGCTTTATATTAATAGAGAATACATAGATTATTGAGAATATATAGGAGAGAATTATAGGTTATTGTGTCATTATATATCTTATTTATATGCATTATTTTTAAATTTTTCATGAGCCGTACATACCCTCTCTTTTTCTATGAGTAGCCATATATTCCATCTCTATGAAATATACGGCAAAAATGCAAGGGTTTCAAAAAAATTTATTTTTTAACATGAAAAATAAAGATTTCGGATTTCTAATATTTTTTTCATAGTAGTAGACAGTACAAAGTTTTTATTGATATACTTCGCTTACTATAAATATAGTAAATAAATATAGTAAATAGTACTTAATAAATTAAATTTTTAATAGGTGCGATGTATATACCGGAGTTATCCTATGCTCATTTAATACTGAGTGATCATATATTATTCAATTATATGATACATATTTTATGATGCAAAACATGTATAACATGTTAATTGCATGAATTAAACTTAATTCTTGTATATGATCAAACAGAAACAGGGGCGAATTTTCAATTTGTACGATATGTTTAATACCGCGCCGTGTAAAAAATTTTCCGGACGACTTAGCGTCGTGATTCTTAAAGCTTCATTTGCGATGTCGGCGAATGCAATTCGGTTACCGGCATAGAAAGCGGCTGTACTGAAAGCTAGGCTATTCTGTTGGTCCTGGATATTGGATTCGTTCATGCGACAAACTGACTGCAGTTAAAACGGCGGACTTGCGAAATAAATGAAAACGATTTCGTTTATGAATGACAGTACATATATCAGCAATTTAATTAACTACTTCGATACTGTCGTAGCTATATATTAAGAGCTATTAAGTTGTTGAAATATGACATAATAAAGTTGCACATCGCATGATTTGTGCGAGCAAATTAATTATTAGATATTTTTTCCGAATTTTTCAAAAAAATCAAATTTCTGAAAATATCTATTCGCGTATTATTGTCATAATTAATAAATTTTGTTTTATGTCTTAATTATAGGTATAGTCTTAACGATGTGTAGTGTTACGAATTGTGAAAGAAAAGCTGTAAAAAAAAGAACAAATTAATCTGCAAACAATAGAATGAGAAAACGTAACGATAATATGTGTATAACTATTTTTTTTTACTATTACAATTGCAAAATAGTAAATGGTGCTATTCGTATTGCATAGGCACGAATGATTGAATATCCCCGTACATCAATATTTTCCGCGGCACTCGATGGGAACAAAGCGTGATCTCCGGCGGCTGCTTCATCTCGCGCGAAAGCTGAAAACGATCGCGCGGGAAAACACGCTTCGCCGACACCTGTCACGAGCACCGATGATCCTCTCCGTCGCTCACCTCTCATTTTCAGCCGATTTCTCGTATTTCGAGTACTTTCCGCGTAGTCCTGGTCATCGTGCGTTTTCACGCGTCCTCGGGACTGATTGGAACTGACGTTCTTCGCGGCGACAGAATAAAACAAAAATTCGCACGATCGCGTTCGACTGGGAGGGCCTATTGTGGAATTGCTCGAATGCTATCATCCTGCATTTACAGCAACGTAAAAAGTAATCATTCCACGTCACGTACGCATATACACACGGGAATTATTCATCGTACATTTGACGTTTTCACGATATTGTAGCAGTATTTCGTGTAAAAAATTTTGATAAACAACTTTATAATTATATAACATGACACATTACAATCTTGATATTTTCATTATTTTAATTGATTTAGTCAATTGATGAATATACGGTATTTCAATTCGTTGTTAATTAATTAAGTAAATTTTATTTTATTTGTTTTAATTAAATGGATTTATTATCTGTCGATAATGTGAAGGTGATGCTATAATAGGCACAACAATTTACGCGGAAGTACGGTGATCGTATCAACGTGAAATTTAGGGCATGTCGAAATATGGTTCATTGATTTTATGTCAAAATGGTGATGATCACATAATTGCGTATCTATTTCGGATGATATGTTATTTACTTCGAGTGTCGCAATGTCGATTGGCAGTGTGCATTAAAGCGGACATCGATAATGTATCGCTTTTAAAATGATACGATGGTACCGATGTTACAAATTATTCCACGCTGTAGTATCAAATTTCTGTTCATTAAATTATGTTAATTATTCGAATAACGATCATGTATGTCCAGGATATATATACATTTTTTGTTATATATACCTTTAATCATATACGAATCGAATTCTCCAACGATCTCTTAAAAACTTAACGGCACGTATTTATGAACAATCAAGGACTATTATGGGATGTATTCTTTGATGATAAAGCATGCATTACATCTAAAATGTGATGTAATGACATCGATACATTGTCAGTGAACAAATATATATATATATATATAAATACATTTAAATGTACATATATAAATACATTTAAGTACATATAATGGACCTTATATGTCTTAATTTTCATGACGTGACCTACTCACTGTTTATGAGTAATTACATGTGAATGTGAAATATCTGTCGAATTACATGTGAATTCAACAGATAGTACCATTAAGTCATGCAGGTTGTTTGATTCAATTGCATCAGTTTATCGTTCAGTTTGTTCATTCTGTTATTATCAGTAAAGCAAAATGGAGAATCACATCTAGGTCATGATGTAATATTTCATAGGTAAATAATTGCTTTCTATAAGTACTAAGAGATGGTTATTAATTTCCATAGTACATTATTGTAGTTCTGTATTCATACTTTACAACACTGTATTCAGTTTATATTTTCGGCACAAGGTTTTGTTTACAATCAAAGAGAAGAAATTCTTTGTAAGGTAGAAACAATATGGTCAATCTAGGTATATTGAATGTACACGCGTTTTTTTCTATTTTTATTCTATATTTTATATTTTTAATTCACCTGTTAAACATCGTGGAGTTAAGCAGTAAACGAGTAGAGGATTAGAAAATAGTTCTTTGTGATGTGTATATATCAATATATTAATAAACTAATATATTAATAAACCTATAATTCATTATCTTATGAAAGTAATATTGGATCACTTTATTTTTCAGTTTCTCTAATATATATATATATATATATTTTTTTAATAAAAAAGAAATAAACGTATACTGTATAGGTCATATTGAGAATATATCACTGTTAAATATCAAAGGAACAATGATAATCCAATCTTGATTTAAATAACATTTTATTATTATTAACTTACATATGTGTCAAAATATAAATCAATCTTCTTCTGTGGTTAGTTTCGAAGTAAATAATGTCCATATTAACATATCTTTTTTTAATATATAATAATAAATTAAATTTAAGACATTTTCTTGAATTAAATTGTTTAACTTTATTGTTTTAATTAAATTAACTTAATAAAGAATAGGAGCAGTAGCGACCTATAGAAATAATTATAAATAATTCAAATTCAATATAATTTAATATTACGAGTTTTTAACAGTGATGTATTCAATACGAAAAACGCTCCTTTTTTTACGCTGCATCTATGTAAATAATTGAAAATATTTTATATTTTTTTTAGTGTTCAGAAATCCTCTAGTAATCAATTTTCAATTTTGGATTCATCAAAAAATTAGAAAAAAATTACAAAATTTAAGTTAAACATGTAGTCTTCGGTTTCTCCATATATAAATTTTACGTAAACTATAGTATACATATAGATACTTTATTTTAGCGCACACGTTTAAGAGGCAATAATATCAATTAAACTGTGAAAATTAAGTTAGAAAAGTATCGTGTTTATCATACCTAAGGGTCTTAGCCGTCTGCAAGTTTGAAGTTTCGGCGATGTGACTTTGCAGATATTGATTCAAATCCCCGTACTCGCCGTTTTCCAATACGATGCACATGGGATCGTTCTCAAGGCTGGCACCGAGTAGCCGCGCGACATTTCGATCGGCGAGTCGTACCAGTCTCTTTGCCTCCTGTTGAAATTCTATCCTGGAAAACACATGGAGCATATCCGGAAGTAATATCTTTATAGGTGCCCGCGATACCAAGGCCATGAGTATTGAATACGGATGCGGATATATATATTGGAAGTAATGTAGATATTCCGTTCTGGTATCGCTCGCTTGTCTCTCGGAAGTTTTCGTTGTCTCGCGAAGAAGAAAGAAAGGCAGGAAAGCAATACAAAAATGCCAAGGATAAAAGAGAAACCTACCTACGAGGGTTATAGCGCGAGTCACGAATAAGGACAACCGCGAATAAGGGTTGCGACTATCCACTATTGTGTTACACATGTGAGTAAATTCTAGCAAGAGCAGACGATGCAGAACATGATATAAACTGCCACATCGAATGGTTTGTGAATTCGATAAGAACTCAATGGACTATATGAAAATTGATACCTATATTCTTTACAATTTTTGATATAAAATTATCTCCTCGTATTATAAATCAACCCAATAAAAATTCTAATTAATGAGAATGAATTCCAATTTATTATTCTATAGTCGAATAATCAATTTTATTGGTACGAAAAAGAGACTATTTCATAAACATTTTGACACAGTAATAATTTCTAGTAATTCTATGATATCTTTGAAATTATTAAAAATTTGCATTTTTATACGATTTCAACATATTTGCATAGACGAGCACGCTTTCATTTAGAGAAGTAAACACGAATGTATTTCGAATAAATGCGATGTATTATAATATTGAGTTCCGTTGATGAGATACGTATTTGACCGACCAGCACGTTTTATTTTATACATGATATTAATTTTTGGGAAATATTTTAAAATTCATCAGTACATTTTTTTCATAGAAACATGCGTATATGCGCAACATAAAATTACTTAATTGAAAATGTCAACGCGGAAAATGAAATTCCTTTTTGCATCGAAAAATTCAATCATCAGACGACAAAATGTATAATAGGATCAAAAAACGAAAATCTATCAGGTAGATTGGTTTGATAGACTTTTTCGCGAAACGCGAGTTGATTGTAGCCAACAGAAAGAAAGGCGTGGAAAAGAATAAAGGCCAGCGAGAGAACGATTGCGCTCTAACATGAGTTGCATCCATTTCGCGCGACAACACGGGTTTCGCGAGCTTTTCCCAGTTGGCAAAATGTGTTTTGTAGACAATGCCATCCGTGATCCTGTCTGCGGGGATCATCCTTTTGCTACTGCGACGACAACGCGTCGTCGGGCCGGTGCAGTGAATCCGGTACGACGCGCTTCGTTGCTCGTTCCTATCCCTATCAGCCTATACCGAAGGAAAATCGTGATCGTCCGAACAAAACATTGTTATAGCGGCATCGCGAATGCAATAAAAGAATATCTTTTATTGGCTGATGTAGTGTCCATGGTTGAGATACAAGAGTCTTCGTTCAAGCATTGATTCTAGATTAATTCTAGATTTTTCTGAAATGTACTTTATAGAAACAAATACGCTTCGACGTGAATTGGATCAGTATCACGTGTGGAACTGCGCATGTAATTATACATGACGCATAATATGAGATATTACGAGGTACAGTTTGTAATTTTTATTCATTGTATTTATAAATTATAGAGTGCGCGGAATAATTATTTTCTTTATATAATATTATCCAATTAAGCATATTGCGCAGTATCGCTCTGTAATCAGTGGATACTGATTTTCAAATATTTCACTGAAAAAGCCACGATGAAGCACGTACAGCGTATACACGCTGATTCGCTAAGTAGGTCGTAATGGTGGATTTAGACGTGGACGGGATTTCGAAAATTGCGAAACATAAATAACGTTCAGGTAAACAAGATTATTGACGAATATTTTATATTGCCAATCGCTAAATCGTATGTCCCGTAGAAAGACGCTTTGAATACAGAATAGGATTTTATGTTTCCAATTTTCTAAAAGTGAGAGAACCCGGCTCTTTCACCGCTTTATGAAAAATTATATTGACGCAGACATGCGTGTGTGAGCACGGACGAGTTATTCGATTACATGCCAATCATCGATCGCTTAAAGCCCTTCCGCATTATCCGGCCACATCTACTTAATGCGCGTAGCGTGTCATTACATTCGGAATCACTTTGCGCCGCGTTATTGAATTACGCCGTTAACGCGACGCTCTATAATCTATTGGAATAATTTTCTATCGTTGATATAGATAGGCACTGCTTTCGCTTTCGGTTTTTGTTTGCTCTAGGAGCGGTTGTCTCCCGAGATATTTAAGCTTTGTACAAAATATATGTTTGAAAGTTAATATTTTGATCCGTACGATAGCATCTAAATGCCCAGTGATTATATTTAATTAATATTGACGATAATTGCTAGAATTCAATTGATGTGAAATTTTATGTTCTCACAAAACACATTCTCAATAAAACGTTCTGTTAAATATTATATTATCATTAAAATCGAGATACAAGAATAGAATATAAAAGGATGACAAGATTTTTCATTACAAAATAAATAATACATTAAATTAAAAACTTTAGAACATAAATTAATTATTATTTGCGATTGTTGCTGTTTTCGATTACTGAAGATACGATTAATCTCCTCAAAAAATAAAGCATTCAATTTCCATAACTTGTTTTTGTATACCTTTACGTAAATTGAGAAAAATTTAATCAATGTGAAATTTCACGCTATCGCATAACGTTATATTAAATACTAGACATTATCAAGATATATTTATCAAGACACAAAAATAGAATATAAAAAAATGACAAAATTTTTCATTATAAAATGAATAATATATTAAATACTTTAGAACGTCAATTATCAATCATTTGCGACTACTGCTATTTTCAATTTTTTAAAGAGATTATTTTCCTTAAAAGATAAAGTATTCAATAGTATAGTTATAACTTGCTTTTATATATCATTATATAAATCGAAGAAAATTACATGGTTCTTACCTAAGAGCGTCAGAAGATCCTGGTTTCAAGGATTTAACAATAACTAAATCGCTGGATGTATTTCTGAAAACCTCATCATATCCAGGAAACCTGTCAACTTCGCAGAGGTGAACATCGCCAAAGTATCCACAGCCAAGATTTTCAACGATGTTGAGTTTTTCCCGTGGAAAATCAAGGACACACTCAGGTATCTCCTCCTCTTCCTCCGTTAGCATATCTTCCGGACTGTAGCTAGTTACACTGCTAGAAGCTTTCGCACTCATTGGCGGTGGTGTACTTGGTGTCGGCGAGGGTGGCAGTGGTGGTAAAGGACTCTGCGATGACACATACACGAATTCAAAATTATATTTTCTCGAATTACGTATAAATCAATATATAATATTAATACATGTAATATGAATATGTGAGGCAAATAGTTGTGAGTAAATATTTGTACTTTTATTCACTGAACGAAATTATTTGAAAAATATGAAACAAGTATAATATCGCGAATATGAATAAAATGGGATAAATATTTCTTCCTTTATATATATATATATATATGAAGGAAAAATATTTCGATAAATATTTAAATAAAAGATAATATTAGGATTCATAATCATGATATACCTTTTGCAATGTAATTTTGCTTCCACGTAAATTAATCAAATCTGATAATATAATCAAACAGAAACACATGTACGCTACTCTTCATAGAACTACCGTAATCAATAACCACGCCCTTTTACATTATCGCTCTATAATCTGTGTATGCCCGCGAAAGATGTTTTCTTCGCGGTAGTTATGATTGATAGTGCCCTGTTGTTTCGTTTTTCGGTCATTAATCCTCATAATTCACAAGGTGAAGTATTTTGCGTCGTGCATATTGTATAGAGAAAACAACCCTGGTTGAAAATGAAATTAAGTCGGAGTCGAGATATGCAATACAATGATATACACCATTAAAAAATATTTTGTACAGTATATAATTAATAATAATCACAGCCAATAGAAATAATCTAGTACTGTGATTATCAATAATACAATGACTTCAAAAGTACAATTTAATAATATTATTACTTTATACAGTGTTTTAATTCTTCATGAAAAAAATATTCGATATTTATGCGAGCAATATTCACAACTTCATGTTGCGTGATAACAGAAATATTAGATACATATTCAAACTATCTTAAAGCGTAGAAAGCGAAAATTGAAAAGTCACAAACGGTATAATATTCGAATTAATCTCGCAATTTACATAAGCCCTAGTGGCCGGTTTTACAAGGTTGCCTCCCTTTCAGCGATCGTGACGGAGATCCAACGATCACGAGACGGCGTTTGACACAGTTTCGCGCTCGAAGTACCCACGTTAATGCTAGAGAAAGGCTTAATCGGCGCGGATCGCATGTCTACCGTACATTTTTGCGACTCACCTTACAGATCTCCGTGCTGGCGTAATACTTTTCCGGCGGGGGTGGTATGGGTGGTGGGTTAGACGGATATTCTTGGACCGCCGGAATTGGCCTGGCAAGATTGATCGTCGAGTTAAGCAGGAGCGGAATAACCGGCTGCACCTCGTTGATTCCTGTCCGAGCGACGAGGAGTGAAACGGGAAAGAATCAAGAAATTCGACAAAGTTAAAAATATAATCACGGCTAGCCGTCGACGAAAGGAATTGCCGTCTGTAATGCCTTCTCTCGCGTCGAGTTTCCAAGTTTCGGAAGATCGTTACCATTTTTTAACGAGACTCCGTGCAGCGCCGCGAAACTCCAACGTCATCGGAGTACATCGAATGAAGTTCTTCCAGAAACTTGAAGGTAATGACGAAAAGAATGTCTATTTCAATTTATTACGATATTGCTATTGTAATATCGTTCGTCTCGCATAGGCTCGCCCGCACGGTAATGACATTTGTGGAGTCGCAAAATTAGTGACCTGTTAATGAGTCATAATATGCTGTTTCTAATAGTTAATTAATCAAAGACTTTAGTCTAATTCGATTAAACAAGGTCGCACGACGCGACAAACAGTCTCTTTGCGGACTGTGGTTCTCTCTCTTTCTCTCTCCCTGTGTCCAGCAAGCTGTGCCAACTACGAGACGCAATGGAATAGTTTGTCGACTATTCCAACTACGTTGTGTGGCCGTGGTAAAACCAGGCGCAGAGATTCGAAACCTCGGCTTGACCGTCACTCGGGACAACCCGTTAGAATTCCCGCGATAACACGAAACTATCCATGTCGAGACAGGGTCGAAGTCAGCGAATACAGAAGTGGAAATGTCTTTGGTGAAATTGAATGGACTGGGATGTTGATCAACTTTTGATATCGTCATTGTTTGAAAATGATAAATTAACTTCTTAAAGATAAAATTTATAGCGGCAAATTATCGAAATATATCGGAAAAACGAAAAGGAGAAATAAGAATTTGTACAAAAATTAGAAGTAAGTACGTAGAAATGCTAAAAGATATAATAAAAAAATAAAATAAAATAAAAATGGAAATTGAACTATGAAAATTAGCGAAGCAGATTTTTAAAGTTAAGCACTTAGCATTCAACATCGGTCCGATACAATTTCAACGATTGCATTCTAAGGAAGTAAACTTGTAACAATTAGAATTAAAAGAAATCTGGATATTTGTACGTTTGTGTGCAGTATTTTAACAACATTTCAACGACTGTAATCCCAGCTAAAAGTGAACCAAATTCGGAATGTAGACGCAAAAGGAAGTATTTAAGCGTATGAACTTTTAAACGTTGGTACCAACCGGTGTAATCCGTGACGGTTTTGTGTAATTGCGGCGTTGTCGTGCTGTAAGTGGCTGGATGGTACTGCGCCGGAAGCGGGGGGCAAATTGGTCCTTTGTCCTCGCCCTCCTCTGGCACGGAGACCTGTGGCCAAATATCGAGCGTTATCATTAATGCACCTGACATTTATGTACACGCCGACCATGTATATCACGCGGTAAAAGCGATACACCGTCGGTTTATCCTCTCCTATTTTCCAGCTCTCCCTCGCGACCCCCTGCTCTTACACTCCTCAGAATATTCATAGCCAACGAAACGAGGAGACACTGCATGGGCCCTGAAGGGGTTGGCGCGCGCGTGCCTGGTTATTGTGTCCTGAAGCGATGAATACCCGTTGGCCTACTGACTTATTATGTATTGCCGATTGCGTAATTTTATTTTACAGCACTCGGCACACGCTACCGTAGACAGAGCATGGAAAGTAGCGCGAGCTTATTTTCGTTACCGATAGAAAGGATAATGTTGGAACGACTCCCTAGCTATTCGCGAAGTTCCATAAACTTGTCTCTCCCCAACGTCGTTCGTTTCGAGATAATTTAAATTTAAATATTACAGATACGGATTTCCTTATCGTTTAACTTTTAATTTAAAAAACCGTTAATGCATTTTTTCCGTGAATAGTATCGCTTTCGTTTGTAATACGTTAATTTTATCTCAGGAATAACTAGTATAATGTAAAGTAGGCTATTGTAGATAAGAACAAAATCTCTTTCTATTATAGCTGATTTATTAGGTTTTCGCATAAGGAACTTTTTATAGCCACGCGAGAGAATGGTTAAAAAGAGAGCGCGATGAAAACTCGGCGCATCTCAAGTATCTAGCAAAAACCACGACATAGTATTAACGGTAACGTATTCTCGCCTGGCGTAAGTTGCATTTGCTTTTCTCCATTAACGGGATTCGTCATGGCAGTGCGCTTTCATCTAAAATGCGATGGTAAAACCGCGCGGGTGCCCACCCGTAAAGCTCTTATCTCGCGTCACTTCCTCCCGACGCCTTTATCTTGGTTCGCAACCGTGTAAAAGTACACGAGGGTCTAGACGATCGAGCCCGACATGCCACCTCAGGAAATTAGCAGTTTTATTATAACAAACAATCTAGGGTACCCGAGACACCGGAGGGGTGTCGGATGTTTACGTTGCGGCTCCTCGTCACTTTTCTTCGCACGATAAGACAACTCGCGAGGGATCGCAGGAACACGACGAGCACCGTATGTATGTGCGTATGTGTGTGAGACTCGCGATATAATATCCATTGATTTTTGCATTGCTCCAGGCAGTGGATGCCGAGGCTGACTTGCGAGGACGTAGGGATGGGTATTAATTTCCGTTTAGGGAGCGTTAGAGGGTGCCAGACTGGTGAGATGCTGCGGCGCGGCCGTTAAGATAAGATAACCACTTAACCATCGGGATTCTACGCGAATCTCACTACTCTCGCCCTCTTTTGCACTGTCTCGCCATATACACATATATGTACACATACATACGCATTGGTATTATACCATCCATGTCGCTTCTATCTTTCTCGATCACTCACTTGCTAGCATAAGGGCTCGCTTCCCGCCATCGACCTTAACCATCTACCATCTCTTTCTCCATTAGGGCTATCTCTAAAGTGTCCTGTCTCGACTTCTCTCACACTCTTATGATCGGGCATTCAAAGCGATATCGACAGCTCGTTCTCGTTGGACGCCGAAATGGTCGCGACACTGCGATGGCAGTTTGGAAGTATTATTGTTGCCCGAGAGATAGCGATCCAATTTACAGAACGGCATTACCTACTCGTCGAGCAAATTGTCTGCGAATTGTATATAACGACGTGATTCTTGATGCGAAAAAGGGAAAAGTCTAAATATAAAATCGTTGCTAATGAGGCAATTGATTTGGATCGATGTTTGTTTAACTATGCAAACAGTCTGAATACATGATTAAAAATTTGCATGACTTTTGACATTAACGGGATGGAAAGTTTATTTTTGAATCATCGGTCTAGCGTGAGATCTTGTTTGTACGTCACATATGCTCGGTAATGGAGAAAATAGGCAACTATTAAGAATTTATTAATATACAAAGTTATGAAAGCCGTCGTTAACGAGTCAGCAATATGTAGAACAGCCTGAAATAACTTAGCTTATTTTTAACGATAGAAAATAATGTTCCAAAAATAAATAGCTTAGTAATGGACAATTTACTCATTGTTTCTTTTTCATATTGTTCAGTTTAAACAAACTCAAGAAAATAAATTTTTACAAAGTTCGCGGCTGTAATATTTTTAAACGTATAAGCTACGTATATTTAATAGGCGCTATGAAAATCGCGTAATGATATAATACATTACATGATCATAATTAATAACATCATTACGAAGGGATTACGAAGAGAAGATTTAAGCTCTTTAAGAAAACAGATTTTTATTGTTTTTACGATTTCACAGAATCTCTTCATGCATTATTGACATGATCATGAAATGCGTAAGTAATACAGCGCCTTTTCTTTTGATGTATGATATATCAATCAGACAAAGGACCACGAATGTATAAATCCAGACACGTTCTATTGATCGTAAAATGATTCTATCAATATAGCAATCGTCGGGCATCGTTTAACGTCAAGAAGCCAAGCTTGATATCTTTTCTTTATAAGTTTGGTATTCTGAACGGAATACGCCTGCCGAAATAAATTACAGCGCTATAGGTAACAGCGAGAGAGCTTACGTGCACACGTTCCGTGGGATTTATTGAAGTGGCGTATTTGTTTAGAGATATTACGTGTTTGTCCGCATACTAATCGCATATCGAGTTTAACCGCGATTACGAGATCGGCAAACGATAGCATCGAATAATCTCTTAACGAGGCGGTTGAATTAAAGGTGCATTTGAACTAAACAGTTTATTATCATAGATAATTTACATATACTAATTCCCGTCAATTTCCCTTTTTTACACTTATGGCACAGAATATGAAATCTGATTTCAGCACAGTAAGAGCAATGTTGCTGAAGAATCTACAAATTTAGCTCCAGATACAGAAAATAATTTTATGGACCCTCAAAATAATTTTGTAAAAATCTTAAGTATGATGAGCAATGCTCTAAAATGTTTCGATCGATATATTCCAGCAACCATATTTTTTCGTCCTACCTAATTATTTTGATGGTCTAGTAAAATTATTTTCAGATCTGTTTTTTAGCTAAATTTTTAGATTCTTCATTAAAATTGCTCTGTGAGGAGAAGGAAAACAATGTCTTATTTGTTTCATCGTACACGTGATTCAAGCAATATGCATAGGCACGTGTTAAAAAAATTTTATTACACAGAAAAACATGTATAACAAAATTCTAGAAACTAAAATTTTCTGACGCGCGTAATGCATTTTATATATTTATGTTTATACGCAACGGTGCTCGGTATTTACGTTATTTTTTTTTTTACATTCGTTTGCACGCCATACTAATCTGAGAAAAATGTTAAACTTGTTAATGCAGTAACCGGAAATACAAATAGTGACGTGAAAGGAGCGTGTTAGGCGTAGAGACGAAAACGAGAATCGAAATCGTGAAACGGGTTAGCCCGACAAAATCCGTGAAGTGCTAGCGAAAAGATTCCGGGCACAAAACGATCCTCCATTAATTAGCACCGGAGTGCTTTTTGCCATTTCCATTACCATGAGTACATCTTCGCCTCTTTTCCGCAAAGGCTGCGCGACCTGTCCCAGCAAGTTTACACATTTCCCAACTCTGTCCAAAAGTGTCTCCCATGCATTTCACTTGTTTCATGTTTTTTATTAATTTTTCATGGCGCTGACCTGCTTTTAATTAACGCATTCCCGTCTTCTTCCTACTTTGGCATATTCCGTTGTTATAAAACGTTCCACGTCCTTTGAATATTATTATAATTATTATATCTAAAAAATTTTAGCATATTTAGCTTTTGCAACGATGCTTTTTAAATTTTCAAATCAATTCTAACAATTCTGAATTATCTACACAAAATTGCCGTTTCTTGTCCTTTTTTTGGAATTCTGTTTAAATGTCGTCACTCTTTTTCAACAATTTAACAGATAATTTTTCAAACTGGGAAATGGAACTGTCGCACAACGTATATATATATATATATATTGTGTGTATGTGTGTGTTCAATTCGCGGTTAGGATTACAACGCAGGAAAATCAGAGAGTTTGTTGCTTTAAATTAAAATAATCTGTTTTCAGTCGACTGTCTCTCGTATCGCCCTTTCTATTTCCCTCCTCCCTCGTTCGAGCTAAACCCGGTAATCACATTACCACTTACTTTTGTACGAAATCCTTGCTGCAGTTCTGCTCACCGTGCTCTTTTCGCACGAACGCAAAAACATACAAAACGCGTATTTATAGAATTACATCACAGAGCTGTGCTACATTCAATAATAATAAATTCTATGGTTCGAATAAAATCACGCTCGAATCTGTTATTATTTGTCCGATACGTTTTCCGCATAACGCATACGATTCACGCATGTGCCCTTCAGGCAATGTCGTAAACGGGTTATTTATTGCAACGCACTGATATGTGGATAATTGAATATAATTTGATTTGCTAATTGGTAAAGAATAGCTTGATCTGTAACGCGTAGATGGACGTTTACGTAAATTAAATAATCCCGCGCAATGAAATCTGGAACAAGAATTTGCTGCATCGTAAATTCCCGGATAAGAGGAGGGGAAAAAAAGCACAACACTTCGCGGGGCTTTAAGCGATATACTATCCCACGGAACTTCCCTCCCAACGCTTTAAAGCAGACCGATGCAGCTAACGTGTCAAAAAAGAGCGAGTCCTCCATCATATTCGTTCTAAATGGAATCAGACAGATCGATATGTCATCCACGAAACAAAGTTTAGTTTTCATAGTTCATGTGCTCGATAAATTGGAGAGGTCTTGTGTAAATCCTGTAAATTGTCCTCCTGACTACTTCTCCTAGAAAGAGAAGAGAGATAAGATAAGTTCTATGGAATGGATGTCCGAACGCATCAAAATTTGATGCTGAAAAATAAAGACGTACTGAATAAGGAATGGTGTTTTTAAGCACAAAATCACTCACGATCGAGAACAATGAGCTGCAGTGATTAATAAGTTGTAGCCTACAGTCATGAAGAGATTAATTAATTAAACGTTGGTAGACGATAATACGATATTTAGCCAATGAGAGACAATGAATAATTATGCAATAAATTGCTATTTATTTAATTAATGAAAATTCAAGGATAAACAGATCTCGGAGAAAAGTGTCAGTATTCTCGACATGATTGAGTAGCTATGTCGGCTCAACATCTCGTTGAATTGAATCAGGTACGCGAGCGAAGTGAGGACAAGTGGAAACATTGTTTTTCTCGACTTGTATTGCTCGATAAATTGACAGCGGTTTCCACCTGACAGACATAATCTGCCGTTCTCTGGAGATCCTGACGTGGGTCGCAGGTTGCACGAAGGGCAATAGGGTCATTTCGTGGAGAAGGAGAAAACGGGGTGGCTCGCGCAACTTCAAGACGGGACAAGTAGCAGGTGGCTAATGTCAGGAACGTGGAACAGAAGGGAAAGGAGAGCCAGCGAGGCATCCTGAAGATGGGCGAGGAGAAGAAGGCGTTTGGAGTGTATATGATGCCGCTTAGCGGCGGGTGAACGACGAAGATAACGCACGTCTTCTCGACGACGGCGTCGCAATACGGCCATCTCGGCAGCTCTTTTAATTAAGTGGAGTCAGCTCGACTATCCGTGCACTTCTTCGGCGGCTGGTAAAAACTTAGCCGGGGAAGATATTGGGTTGTCGAAGAATACCTTGAGTGATGTATGGTAAAAGCGAGAAGGGGATACGTGCGACGAGTCTGCTCTTGAGCTTCGCCAGATAAACGAAAAATATTACATAAATGTGCTCTTTTTGACCCACGTATTTACAAGCAAAACTGATCAAAAGCAATTAATTAATTCCGCATCGCACATATTTGCTGAATATATGAATATTATGTTTATTCCCGCGTATATATCAAATGTAATATAATATAAATTATTATTTAAATTATTATTTTCAAATTGTAAACTTTAGTAAAAGAGGACAGTTTGGTAGCTTCTTGATTTTGAAAAACTTTCTTTCGCCCGATCATTTATCATTGTTAATAATGAGCCGAATGAAATATTTCGAGTGACTAATTAGTCACCCTGATAGCTAATGTCGCCATCGCGAGTCTTCAATTTATTTCGATAGGTTGTTAGCGTCATTATTAATTGTCGACTGTCGCTTCGTACGTTTCTCCAGTTGCCTCCGTCCGTGCAAACAGTTAAGTTAGGAAAGCTTCAAGGGTTTGCAAGCTCAACTGTCTGGCACTCATTATTTCTCATCGTTCAGCAAGTCGTTAATTACTGTCTTCCGCTATATCCCGCGAAAAAGGATGGGAAAGCGCCGGAGCTGTCCATTTCTACGAACGAACTTCACTTTGCTATTAATCCGGTTAGAACAACAGTGGCTTGGTAAACATACGCGAAGTTCTCAGAGTTCTTTCTTTTCTCTGTCAGCCTCACTTTCTTCATTCTACTCAGTCCAAGTATTAACTTTTTGCATAACATGCTCAATTCTCTTCTAACGTTTTATTCCTCATCCTTACTTTCTCGCCTCTCACCAACAGCACTTTTATCTATAGAGATTACTTACTGCAGAATTCACTTCTTACCTTGTTACTCTGCGCCAACCATCACAAATCGTTGGTCTGATTTCTTAGATAATAGCCGGCTAATCAAGTAATGAAAGTTACGTGTGTACGTTTCCTTCTTCAATTTTTCTTTCTTCTGCACAATCTTCTTCTTACAAACGTATCGCAATATTTCGAGCGGGTAAGATTTGATAATTGATTGATTAATTAATTTTTAATTTTCCACTTTATAACATGAATCCGATTTCAAGAAGCGAACCATTGTGCATAATAAAGAGCTGGGTTTAATGTTATAGACCATACATCGTGAAAGTCGTGTAAACTGTCCACCGACGAGGACGGTAAACGCGCGACGTTAATAATTCTTGTTGTTCCGTAGGACAGGAGTCGGAGCGGAATTTACGACAAAGTTAGACATTCCGCGTTAGAACGAGGTGCGAGACATCTCTTTCGCCGGAAAACGTTTCTACCGGGTTCTCCCGCTACGATGGAATGCGACGTCAGAGAAAAATAGCGTCGCCTGTACATGCATTACAAGATATTTCTCGTTATTTTTCGTATTCATTCCGAGCATTGTATTGTAATGGGGAAAAATTATACGATGTCTGTCATGCATATAATTTATTTATCACTGTAATATAAAGCCGCTTACTAATTATCTCTACGAGCTTTCTTTTCATAAGCGTAATTATCGTTATAATTACGCCAAGTAATTAACGTGTACAATTTCCACGGTTTGTGTGAAGGGCCGGATAATCGTTCAAGAATTCACGAATAAGAGCGCATAACGAACAATCTCGGAGCGTTCTTTTAATCGCCCTAGCACGATCTCGTTTGCGTAACGTCTCTTCCTTAAAGGAAATATTTGATCGCCGTATTTTCTCCTCTAGTTACGCGCGCGTTCGTATCTAAACCGACGTACGTAATAGGTAGGTATAAGCTGTTTTGCGCGATTGCTCAAAAGCGCCCTGGAAAAGTGACCTGAAAGCGCAGAGTAAATAGATGTGCACGTTTGGTTTATTAGAGTTAGAGACGAGACTTTGGTATTAAACTAGGTCGGGAGTCAGGCAAAGAAAAATCGCGATTGGAGAACAAAATTATCGTCATTTATCAAATTATTAATATCGCGATAATTCGCATCGATGCGCACAAGATTATCTAGAATATTAAATTTTTGACTTTCAATTTTTGTCGTCACATTTAATGACATCTAATGATTGAAAAGAAGCAAGATACTTTTGTATGTTATACTGAATTGTACGGTAACATTTTCTGCAAATCATATACCGGAATTATATATTACTTTCCTTATAAAAAAATAATTTTCCTTGTTATTATATATCCATATATTATTTTAAAATATCGATATACTAATGTATTGTATCATCTCAATGTGCTAGATGAAAAGAAATGCCGTATTACGAAGTAATTTCTAATACAATAAATTTACTTATAACGTATATGATAAGAGAAAATCATTTTTCCGGAATATTTAACGATTTATATTATATATGTGAATATATAGACAGTCTGTAATGACTTAATATTACGGCGATGCTTAATTATGTGATATCTTTACAACCTTGAGATCACCCTGTTGATCATAGAAGTTTGACGGTGCGAGAGCAGCTTTGAGCCTACGGTTCCTATAGAAGATGAACATGATCGCCGCGAGCAGCATCACAATTACGGTCGTCAGGATGCCGATAACTAAACCGACAAACTGCTTCGATTCCGGCTCCTTGCTCTTATCTGGAACTGAGAAGGATACATATATGTAGAGTATCTATCTAGTGTGTGTGTATATATATATATATATATTGTATATATATATATAAATGAGTGGATGTGTATATGTAGTAAACAGATGCACCCGTCATGTTCGGGGATACGGAGGGATTCGATTAGCTCAACGATTAACGGTTACACTGCAAGCTCAGTGATCTTGCACATTGTCATTGGTTTAGGGATTGCACTCTAGAAATAATTTAATTAATCGTAACATCAATCGTAATTCCTAAGGATTTGAAACTAGCCTTTAAATGTTTAAGCAATTATTTAATAGAATCTTTTCTGTTTTTTCTATCTAATTATATTGTCCGATAAAATTTGACTTTTTTCTTGTCTCTAATGTGAATAATTATTTTATGTATATAAATTATTATATATAATTATGTATATAATTATTTCCAACGTATTTCTGTCTATTGAATACGAATCTGTTAGTAAAAGTTGACTATTGCGTCAGTTTTGAGAAAAATTATATCAAAGAGGCAAAAAACGACTATTTGGATGACCAGTTTTCAAAAAGTTATACCACTGGCAACTATTTTTTTTTTAATTTCATACTACATGAAAGTATCAACTTTTAGCTTTAAAATGCATTTTGGTTCATTTCAATGAATTTTTTTCCGCGATATAACAATTTGAATATAATGCTTTTCTCATGTAACATATTCCATCCAACAAATAAAGTTTTTAATCGAAAATAATTAGTCTTATTCATTTTATTACAATTGATAAACTTTTAGATAATCGCGACTGTCATTTTGAATCAAGCAAGTGGAATATCGATAGTAACGATAACTGTACTGATATAACAAAAGAATTTTAGCGGATTCACTCGTCCATGATGCTTGCATCAAGCAACACGACCTATCACCGTAGATAATACCGCTGAGGTAACCTCACATAATGTACGATGGGACGATAATGATGATTGCGTTCATCACGGAGCTCGTAACTAGATCACGGTTGATCAGTGCCTGGCTGAACAAAAACAATATCCGCTGATGGCTTTCGTAGTTCACCGCAACAGTCTGATCATCGCTTGAGTATTTTATGAATCAATAAACGCATAAGAGAGAACAATCTAATAGTCACATTAAAACTTTTTTTTAATTCCACGATCGGCAAACATTTGTATTCATAGTTTTAATATCATCGAATAGTATCAAAATGAAAATATTAAATGCATTTGATTTTTCTTTGAAATAGAGGATATTAAAGTCAATCGATCAATAAATACAGTCAATCGATCAAAAAATAATTATCCAATAGCAAGAAAGGAAATACATTCATCTTAATATTTCTTTATAAGAGAAAGAGTTATTCGCGCACAGATATCAAAACTAATTGTAAGCTGTAAACTTTATTTAACAAACTCTGATAAATTTTTCTCCTTGTTTTTTTCTCCAAATAAAAACATCAGAGAGAAGAGAGTTTAATTTTTCAGATAAAGATATATCCGCGACAAAAAAATTTCCATTTTGCTTCATGCTCTTTTTGAATTCTCAATATTTCGGTCTCGTTTCTTTCGGCAAACCAATTTTGGCATAATGTTATAGAACACCAGCCGACAAGAAAGTATAACGTTATTCTTCCTAGTATATCGTTGAACGTCTGTTTCATTACTTCGCAGATTATTACCCGCGTTGGCGCACATTTGTACCTTTCTGCGCGGTGTAATATGTAATGAGTATTCGTCGTATACGTCGCGCTTCAAGCGAGAAAACATAAATACCTCGTCCTGTTTTCTTGCGCTTTACCTTGGGCGAATTTAACAAGCGGACACGCAAAGAGCATTTCGCGCCAGCAATGTATACAAATACAAACCTACATTAAACGAGCACGCGAGCTTGAACCTAGCAATAGTTACGAAGAAATTTCAGCAATTTCAACATCGTCGCTGTGTGATCGAAAAATTTTGCGCTCTGTAATGCGAGAAACGTCAGTAAAAAGAAAACACAAATTAGTTCAATCAATATGTTCATCTTTAAGAATATTGAAATCAATTAGCATTAAAAGTTTCGTTAATGAATCTTGATCTTTTTAACGATATCTCGATACCGCGTTTCGACATTTCAGTCAAAGAAAGTTAAAGAATTAATCAGGTTAATTGCGCGGCTTTTGTGAGAGTAAAAAAAAGCATTTCGTTCTATTGGTTAACAAACTCAGCGTAGTCAAGGAACAAAAGCGACCGCTCTTTTTCTTCCGTAACGTTTCTTTTGCAGGTAATCGAGGACGTCCCTGGGACTACTCGATGTACTTTTTCGCACAGTTCTTTCGATCTGATGGGGTTTTCTAGCCTCATCGTCACCGTTTTTCCATTAATTGCGGTGTAAGGACATCGCGTCATCAGAAAGAAGATTTGTTGAAGGTGCAAGTTATTGACTTTTTGACTATAATTACAACTAGAGTTCCAAATGTAGGATCAAACACAAACTATTTAATATATTTCAGATTTCTTAAATATTTGTATTAAAAAAATTTTTATATTTCAAAAACATGTATATTTATATTATATTTGCATTTATTTTTATTAATCAAATTCAGTTTCAAATCTGTTAATTAAATTTACAATTTCTAATAATATTATTAGAAAACTATGTTAATTTTGTACTCGTTCATGAAATATAGAGAATTTCACGATTGACACGTATTATATAAAATATTCCAATTAACATTTTTTCATGTAAATATATGACTAGTAATAATCGTAATGATCCTTTTTTTGACACAATTCTTTTGTGATATATCGAGTTCATTGTTATAAAACATGACAAGGGAAAAAAGCGTCGGTGAAAAGAACGTCAATTACGCGGAAAATTATGAACGTAGTTTACCGGTATAACAATGGAAAAATCGGACGGTAGACTTACAGGTGTTATCTTTGCTTTCCTCCTTATTAAAAGTAGCCTTCACTTCGTCTCTCTGCAGTGGACCCTCGTTATTTTGATAGGGGCTGCCGGTCGCCAGTACAATAGCGCTCTTGTTCTTCGCCTCCTCGTCCTCGGTATTGTTCCATTCGGAGATAACTGTGCATTCAGGATTAGAGGTAATGAAATCCGCGCTCGTCAAGCTCATATTAAACATTCAGGCGTAAAAAACATTTATATATATATATAAAAGTATGTATGTGTGTGTATGTGTCATATAGTGAGAAAAGCACTTGAAACTAACTGAACTAATTAATAACTCGGTAAATTTTGTGCTATAAAATCATCGATAATACACAACTAATCTAATAATTATTAGAAGCGAATCTAATTTTCGTAAAATTAAAAAGAAACATGCAATATTCAAAAACAAGTTGAACGTTACGCTTCATCTTCTGACAATTTCTCATCAAATCGTACAAATGTCCTTTGTGGCCGGTGTCGATATAAAATTTCATTTGTATGTGGGATCGTTTTCTATGACATCGATCGTTTGAAAACGAACAAATATCGTGACCAGAATTTAATTCGTGTCACACGCAGCTGGAATTTCCCGTTAGGCAAACTGAAAATTAGTACCGCGGCAGTTTATCGACTAATGGACACCAGAAAATATTCCAATTTTCGACCCGTTAGACGCGGTTTATACGCGCGATTTATAAAAAGAAAAATTAATCGAAGTGGGACCCGAGCTTGCTTTCGGAGTTTTTGGCGCGGCGCGGTTCGCTCGGTGGAAAACTCGATGCCGCGCTAAAGGGAGGAACGGGTAAGGGGAGTGATATATTTTCCTATCGATGACGCGGCTCAACGAAGCGTTTGTGCGACGTGAATACGAGTTATGTGGTATACAGGTGACGAGGAACATTGGTCGCCTCTGGGCCGGTCGGTCCAACTTATCGCTCGTAGTCGAGGACGGGGAGCACCGGAGTACGTCGAATGATTAACGACATACCCACTCCCGCGGTTGGCCCTGGTGCAACGAAGCGACACGGAACTTTCGAAAGCTTGCATTACCAGAGACCAGCAGCTAAGTTCCGTCTCTCGGATCGTTTGAGACGGATTAAAAGAAATATTGGTGATCGATATGCGGTTTTGGACGATGTTGGATTAAGGTAGCCATTGGGCAAGTTGTCGTAATAGTTGCGTTTTGCCGCTGCGGAACCGCGGAATCGACCTTCTTGACTGAACTTGAGAGATTATACGGGAATACCGGTTTCACGGTGCTACGAAATACATTGTCTAATTGTAAGCTATATCACACGGCGATGAGAAATGCGCTTTTAATTCGTGAACAAAATTTATGGACTTTTTCGTTTCTAAAAGTTACAGCGAACAGAAGTGATTACAGTTTTTATCCTAACTGTTTGTATTTGTATTTAAAGATCCTAAGGCTCTCTCTTAAATAAGCTGCAGTGTAGTCGTAATAGCTTTACAAACTCATAAATGTTTAATAAAGTTTCTTATATATATACAATTCTAATTCAGATCATTTCCTGATTATCTCTATTGGTAGCGTATTTTTCGTTCTGTAATATTCCGTGTACGAATTATCTCCGATCTTTATATAAAAATTTAAGTTATTTTCTATCAAAGCCTTAAACAATTTAGCTGGATCTTAATGCTTGTATGATTCTTGTGTAAATTTATATACTGCGTATGTAGTCCCCAGAAATGCGCGCCAAAATGGTTTTTTGGTCTTGAAACATTAACTCTATTAAACAACTGCAATAATATCACGAATTGATTAACAATTTAACAAATATCTCTCCGTTTCTGAGAACTACATATGTAGTATATAAATCCTACCGTTTAAGGCTTTGATTTCTACAATTTGTGATATCACATATATTATTCTGTAATATATTATATTGTTTTCTATCACTTATTTTCTATCAATTATTTTCTGCGCAAACACAACCACTGTTTCTAAATTGCAAGAGATAGAAAAATGTTATACATTGAGAACAATTGACAATCAATACTTTGTTCTTGCTTGTAAGGTTGCGAAGAAGTTTCGAAAATAATTGGAAATAATTGAAAATAATTAGAAATTAATTGGAAAGAATTAATTGTTGTTCGATAATATATTGACATAACACATTAACAGGAAATTAATGAAAAAATTATATGTTGCATGTCAGACACGTATAATTTCGTACAAATAATTTTGAAAATGAAATACGTGCAAGTTTTATGTGCCACTTGATATGGTGACAAAGAAAATCACTCGCTTCAGCGTTACGCTGCCGAAGTTATCTTTCTCGTGAAAGGAAAGAACAGCGCACTGAGAGAATGATTAACGACGGCTTCGCTCGTCTGGTTCGTGCAACATTCCGGCTTTTCGAGACAAAACTTTTTGAGAGTATATATTCGAATGTGTGTGTATATGTGTATGAATGTGTGTATGTATGTGTGTGTGTGTGGGGCAAGTAAGTTTCGTTTCCGGTTTGCGACCACGTGCTCTCATTCGCACAACGTGCCGTGGATACTTCTGCTTTTTGCTTTTCGCGGTGCTTTAAAGTCGAGCAAACAACATAGGACTAAACGATTTCAGAAACTTTAAATGTTTCTCACGGTCTTTTCTTTGGAATACTATTATCCGAGCAATTCCGATAGTAAATATGTATAACTGCGACAGATATTTTCCTCCCTTAGCGATCATGTTATATTTATTGTTAAGATCTAAAGAAAATAAGAGTAAAATAGAAAAAGGGAGAAAGAATTTTGTTGAATTTATAAGCAGCAAAACTGTGTTCATGTATTGAAAAGTAATAAAATATATTTCAATACATTTCCATAACATTTTTGAAATATTTCTTCCCGTTATACTTCTGTTTAATCGATACTAAGTACTTTTTTAATATCCATTTTACATTCTAAATCAGCGAAACTCTGACAACTCTGAATTTTAACATCTAAAAGAACAGTCTCTATGCAAAATAAGTTTATCTTATATCAATTTAATAATTGTATATACCTATCATTTTCTTGAAACAGTTTTCTTGAAACTACCGTCGAAATAATTTTTCTCTCCGAGCTTCGTGCGCACGAGCTTTGGGACCATTTTCTTTCTACCATCTGCAGTATCACCGTGCTCATATCTTCGACGAAAGTGTGTCACTTAAAATTGGAAATCGCGTTGGATCGCGCGCTCGTGATAAGACGCGCTTCGAAACTATTCTATTTCTAGATTTCAATTTTCTGGACCGCCTACTTTGATTTTCCGTTTAACTAAAAGTGCGTCTATAAATGCGAGAGAACCACGGGGTAAAAGGCGTACCGCCAGACAATGTTTTAGCTTCGCCATTACTCTCGGTCGTTCCGAGACGCGACGCGAGAAACGCGCGCGAGTGTTACCGAAAGAGTAACACCCAGGAGATAAATTTCGACCCGCGCGTGGGATGGCAGGAGGGAGGAGACGGTGAATCGATCTTTCTCTTACCTGATTCGAAGATTACCTCGCTGAGCATGATCCACCGCGCGGCGAAGTAGAGCTGCAATTTTAGGAAGCGGCCGGCGCGCGAATGCAGCTTTATGGTAACCTCGCGCGCCTGTTCGAGAACTTGATCGGGTATGTAAGAGAAATGGACAGGTTCGCCGGTAAACTGGTTGCCACCTGTGCCGAGATAGACCTTCGCGTACGAGAAAACCTGCGAAGACATTATGCGATATGTGAGCGGTTAACGGGAAGGTGACCAACTTTTTAAAAAAGGAAAAAGGGATATATATAACAAAAATTTAATGTGTTGTAATTGAATTTTAATAGATAAACATTTTTTATAATTGTTTTGTAATGAAACAATATTATATTATTATATTTAAAAAATCTTTTAAAAAAGGATACATCATAATCGTGTCTTTAATTTGGGACAAAATTTGGAATGCGTTGTGAAGCGAGACGAAAAGATAAAATTTGGGACTGTCCTTTCTAATTTAGAACGGTTATCTTACTTTACGGGAATGGAATCAAGGGATTGGATGATGCCCGAATGAGGGAAATAATCATGCATGATTGTATTGTTTCTTAGCTTCGACAATGTTTCTATCGTTCGTAAGGTCATATATACGGACATATATGAAGTATTGTTATACAGCAAGGGAAATGCATGCTCGTTTTTAGAGAGATAAGGCGCGCAGATGAAAATAATTCAGCGAGAGACATTTAGAAATTCGCTATCGATGAAGGTATTAAGCGAACAGACGGCGCTGCAAAAATCGCACTGTAAATCGTAAGGAAAATGTTTTTAAAACCGCGTAAAAGCACGGAAGCATCGGCAAAGATGTGATCGTGAAATTTACGGTAGTTCCTAGAGCTCGTAACTTCCGAAATAATACCGGTAACAGCGCGAATGGCGATACCTGCACGTCCTTCGTGAAGTAATTGTTCATGTGTAGATGTATGGCAGTGAAGTTCCTCGAGTAGTCGAACTCGAAAGTTATTTCCACCGGACGTCCAAGCATGTTGGGTGTGTCGTTTCTCCATCCGACCCATTCGTATCCTTGAATACATACAAACGAATTATTCATTATAATACTTCAGAGTTTTGGAGAATCTTGAAAAAAATCTGGAGTTGTGCCTCCTCCTTGTCGTTAGTTAAAATTATATAATACGATTATAATCTGTTTTCACAATATAGGATTAAAAGTTGTCAAGAAATTCATGAATTGATGAATCTCTCAATAACCTTTAATCTTTAAGTTTAATCACACTAAAGAAAGTACTGAATTTAGTAAATATTTATTTAAGTAGTAATATAGTTCTAAGTAAATATTTATTAAATGTACTTGTGTTTATTTGGTACATTAATTTAATTATCATATTTTTTATTGAGTAAATATTTATTTACTGAAAGTAAAAAATTTACTTATTATTATTTAAAGAAATATGTATTAAAATTTAGAACAATTTTTTCAATGCATATACTGAAAACAAGTTTATAACGCGCTTGATTTTAAGTTAATAAAATGTTAAGAATTACTACTGAATTTATAATGAGAAGACGAACTCTTTCGGCTATTCAAATCTCTCTTTAAAAAGATCCATTAAAATCAATTTACTAGTGAAAAATTCATTCCAGCATGTGTATATTAATATATACGTAATTTTTATACGTTAAATTTGTGCTACGCTTTTTGATATTTAACAATAATTGAAGGTTGTGTGTGTGCTATATATTAAATTCATCTTTTACGCTTCATAGAGGGAACATATCCAATAAAAATTGTAATCTATATATGTCACGTAGGAAAGTTCCGATATTTGAATTTAAAAAAAAAGTTTTATGTTGCGGGTTGTATGATACGGTAAACCATTTATAGGTGCGGTGCACGCACCTATAAACAAGACAATAAAATCTGTAACGCGAATAGTGGACAATTCGTGCGTGACATCGAATTTATTTGAATGTAGCGTAAACGGAAAACATATGCATGAAAAACAAATATCTAACATTCCTATGGTAAATACATGTCATATATATCATGCATCAAATACGTATATAATGAGAAATATGATACCAATTCTAAAAAGTTACAACTTGTTAATGTTTAAATTCCAATTAGAGTTAAATAAATCACACAAAATACTAACCAGAGAAAAGAGCAGAAGTGAAAGATTTTATTTTTTCACAAAAATCTAATAAAAACTGATTTTCAATGAGGTAATACTAAAAGAAGTTTTGTATAACTTAAAGTCTTTGGGGAAGTACCATGCTGTGCTGCCGTTTTACAACGAAGATAATTTAATATAGGTAACTCGGTAACTTAAATAATTTGCAAGCACGTGACCTTCGCAGTTTTCTTAAGATTTAAAGACGTTTCTTGTTATATAACGCTGCCAGAAATCGTACAAGAGGGTTCGCTTAATAGAATTTAAATTACCCGTTTCAGATTCGCAAGTTAAGCTTTCACGTGGGACTCGTATGCTTTCTCGAAACGTTAATTACGTTTCAAGTTTGTTTTCGTGCTTTCTATTCCTCTCGCTTCATTTCTCTCGGAAATGTTTCGCTTGGTGTATAGCAGCGCGAGAAGCGTGGTATGCGATACGGAAGAGTTTCGAGCTATGGAGCGGCCATGGCAGGTTATTGCGCGAGAGTCTCGCCATTAGATCCCACTATATGAGTACATGTGGAAACACACGTGTCCCGCGGGAATATGCGGATTGAAAATGGACTGCAATAATCCTAAAGCCTGGCCGGCACGGCGTGTTATGCATTTCTCAGAAACGCTCCTGTTACTTTCAACATTCGCTCCGAAATCTCTAGCTCCACCGCATTTTTCCATTTAAATGTCTACGTACAAACATGGCTCATGCTATACTTACCAGAATTAATAACGAAAAACAAGTTTTGAAACCATATTTTTACGAAAAAATGTACTGCGATATGATTAATATTTTTGAATATTTGATGAAATTTTAGATATTTAATATTTAATATTAAATTTCATTAATATTTTGATTTTTTAAATCTGATTTTTAATAAATATACATGTTTTGTATCAATCAAAATGCAAGAAAAATAAAAATACCTCGCTGTATTTATTTAACAGTACATTCTTTAAATATTCCTTCGTTTTTATATTTCTCTGTTTTTGTTTGGTATTTATAAAATGTATGTAAACTAATAGATCCTAAATTCTATAATATTACTTTAGAAAAATATTTCTGTAATTTTTTAAAATCATTCCTTTTCTTCTCCATGAAATCTCTGAAAAAGAAACGAGAGATGGAAAGAAAAAATAAAAGAGATCTTCTAGTTCTGAATCCGGTGTCGTCGTTTCTGCACTTTGACATCGTCGGAAGGGAATCGTGGGTTCGCCGTAGCGACATAAGAATCTTAGAGTATATTAAAACTTACGAGAATTTCAATCACGCAGTTTGCATTGTGTGCCCGCACGCGACTTTGTGTTTGGATTCCTGTGCAACAACTACTGCGATCGTCCCTTCCGTTTTCAACAATATACCGGGTCCGCGCGGTGGCGTTATATCGCCCTGACCTATCCGCTTTCATACAACCCCCTTCCTCCCTTAATATCGTCCCTCGAGTAAATAGTTTCCAGTTTCCTGTCGTCGCCGCCTTCGGCCGCTATCTACCATCAATTCTGAACCTTCACGAGGATCGTAAGATAACCACGCTGGGCGAATATATATCTTACCAACACCTTCGTTGGTTGATGATTTTCTCCTTTAAAGCGTTTCGGGAAAGACTGTATAGTTACGAACATACAATGCTCGTAAACCAAAAATAAGGACACGAGTTGTCAACTGTCACAAACGTTTCACTGATACTTTATTAAACGAGGCAGAAGTTTGTTACGAGAACGTTATGATGTTTTAATCGATATAGTTAATTATAGTACGTAAGTTTTCCGCAGAAAGTTTTTGTTATGATATTCCGAGAATAATATCTCATAAAATCATAAATCGCGCGCGTTGTTGATCGCTTTTCACAAATTTTGATTATACTCTAAAAATATGATTTATATACATATATATATATATACATATGAATATATCCTAATAAATAACTTCATACATATTTTATAATTTTCTTCTTTTTTCGCTGTTTGCGAATTCTCTCTTGCGTATAATATTTTTGAAGTGTTTTTAAAAACTTTCGAATGAAGGTGCCGGTGCAAATATCGATCTCGAGTGAAAAATTTGTTTCGACTGCAGGAATATCGGACGACGGCATTTCCTGGTTTAAAGAGAGTCGGGAGAAGTTGTACGCAGTTTTGCTAGGTTTAAAAGTTTAAGAAGGCGGAAGCACGACGGTGTATCCAAGTGTAGCAGCAGCGGTGGAGGGTGTCTCGTGGTATAAATGGAAAGACACAAATGTATCCAGAAGGCGAGTAAACAGCACCGACTGGTTGCAGCCTAGCTCGCGGTTCAATATAAATGTAAATTGGAACAGATTCGAGCGGGCGCTGTGAAACACGTTTGGCTCCGAAGCCCAAGCTCTTCCACTGGCCCTCTCGGCTTTTCTAGACTCTGCTGACCCTTTCGACTTTCTCGTTTACACACCTACACACACCTGGAGTAGACGGGAAAATTTCATTTTCATTCTGGCGTACACGCTTCGAAAACGGACGCATCTCGCATAGGCGACGACGAATATTGCGCTTGATCAATCGTTCGAAAAACCGTTTCCGTACACGAACACATCCTTCTCAATTAAATTTCGACGGTCATTCGATTTCCTGAATAAAATTCATGGATATCTGTAGAATAGGTGCTATTGATACCACACGCGATGAATTAGTTCCAGTCGGTATCACGCGCATTAATCATTGCTTCATTAAATAAAAATAAAAAAAAAACATACATTTCGGATTGATCAAATGTACCGAACAAATCGTCCAGAAGGTAAGCATCCATAAAAAAGAAGGAATATTGGCAAAGTAATGTGTGCTTTTGATACATAAAATCAAGCGAATAAAATACGTGTAAATTGAAAATTCATGAAATAACGAAGCGAATATGTTCGTTCTAAAGCGGAAGCTATCCAAGATATTTTAACAGAATTCTCGTCGCGCATTCACATATTTGAAATTATATGTGCTGCGCTACGAGGAATACATTTTATACATAACAACTACGTACAGGATACTGATGCAGTGTTTTAACATTATTCAAGATACGCTTTGTGCACGCTCTTATTTCATTACTTTCTTATTCCACCGCATGTGCATTAATAGTAGTGTAAAGCGTTCTGAAACAAGAGCGTAATCGCTCGAAGAGGCGCGTGTAAGTCCACGTTGCAAAATTACAACAGGAATTACGGGGCCGCGAGCCGCTATTTAGCCCGGAGAAAGAAATTAACGAGTAAGATAGCGTGAGATACCGATAGATTAAGAAGACTAGACAGTTGGCGGGCAGGATATCTCGCGGAGACGGCTCTATCACGCTAATCTAGACACGATCTAGCGCCGGCGCTAATCTCATTCCAACACGAAGCAGTCCCGTGCCTTACCCTTTCCGTTACCGCTGACGTCCAATCTGAAGTTGTCGGGACCCTTTTGCCCGTCGACAAGTTGACCAAGTCCCCCGGAGAGGTAACCCGCTTCTTCGCGGCCGTCGTACGTCCTGTCGGAAAGGTCAACCTCGGAACCCCTCTTGATTCCTTGGGGCATGGAATACGAAACGAGACCCTCTGGAAGAATAAGGAGAAGCCGGATATAAAGAATATATAAGCTTCTGAACTATGCATCATCACGTTGCTACGTGGTCGGGCCGTGAACGTTTTCTCCCGACAGTACGTGATAAGATTGCGGACGGTTACGGGTAAAGCGCACGTCGTCGGGAAGAAGTAACGAGGGTCAACATTTTTAATCTCGGTGCACTGAGGATTACCGGGATCGATCTAAAGCGCTGTCACGCAATAACTAGACTAGAACTTCGTGCTGTGATGCGGATCTCACCGATCACGACGTCGAGCTCTCTTTCGTTCCGCAACGTATCGCACAGTTTTCGTTAAAAATGCGACGAAGTAAGCGACTTATGTCAGAGCAAAAATGTACTCCGAGACTGTCAGGCGTCAATAAGCACGAATGAGTTACACGGTTTGGTACTTGGGAGGGAAATGTCGCGTCGCTTCCTCATACCAATCGAGTATTTTTCCATTCAATGGCGTTCAAATGGTAAATTGTTTTCACAAATTTCAGTATGAAATATGTGTACGAGATATATACTTCTACATACTAGTACATTTTGCAATGTTTACGTGAAATAGTTGAAAAAGATCGTTTTGATTAAAACACTGATAGAATGAAAAATCAATTCCATTTGCACAGCTTTTTCATCGATGAGGCCGGAAATAATATAGTATCGATTGTAACCATCTATTTGTTTATTGTATTTATTATAACCATTTTGTAGTTTTGTTACAGTCGGTAACAATAACGATAAAGCCTTTGTCAAATGTAAAAAGTATCTCATTACGATAATTGTAGAACATAATTCTATGTCTTCTCTCCTCTATATATCTTCCTTTTGTCATTTGCATGGTTACGGTCCTTACTTGGTAATGGCCTGAACGTTTGCTAATGCCATTCGTAAGTCACAATTTATTTTGCAAGTCAATATTATTGGCAGCCGCTGTAATTGTGCGTTTAAACGATATAACGATGGTCGGGGCTATGTGGATGGCACAGTTAGCGGCTGCCGCATAGTTCGTCGTGGTTGGATTAATGTAGACGCAGCTGTGGCTCACGGCCCACGGTGATCGTAAATCTATGTTAATCTCAGATTCAGGAGAGACTGACACGTTACATCGGCGTCTTGTCAGATAGTCAGCGAAGGTTGACGAAAATTCAAGTTCAAAATCTCGTGGCGAACAAAACGCGAATTAATTACGTGCGTTTCAATTCATCATATGTCTTCATAAAATAAATGATGTTAAATAATACTGATAATATTATTAAGATAGATATTATTATTTATTACGTGCTCCAGGATTGAATCCTCTAAAGCGCCTCAACGATATATTACGAGTGCTACATAGATTAAAAAACAGTATAAAGCCTAATGATCTGAGTACAATGAAAAGAATAACAAAAAGAAAAAATTAAAAAGATATAAATGTACATATGTAAGGTTTTCTTATCGTTTGAAGTTTCGTGAACAAAGACGAAAATAAAGATCTTGAACTTTACGGCTAAATCTGTATCTGTTGAATTCTGGTATTGTATAAAAATTTCCGTTGTGTTCTTTTTTGATATACCATCTATTCTGGTTTCAACCACTAGACTAAAGTACAAATCTAAGTTACTGTTGAGGTTGTGACAATTGCAGTCTCTCGTCAAGTAGTTCTGGGAAAGTCGACTACGAAACCAATGTAAAATATAAAATGCATGATGACACGCAAGCGATTCCAAAGGGATTTCTATCGCTCGTTTTCAATTTTATTTTCATAAGTGTTATGGTAGTGCAGGTGTTGATGAAATCACATATAATTGATTTTACTTATATATAGCGTGAAATAATTCATTTGTTACGGTAGCTGTTAACACGAAAGAGTAACGATTCTAATTTTATAAAAAAATATCAAATTATATCTTTTTACATTTCGAATAATTTTATATATTGCATCACCAGTTTGCGTGCAGCGTGTTAGTGGTAAAATTTTTTCAGATCGGGCCGTAATATTTTTTCATTTATTTTCAAACAGTTAAAATTGCAATCAAAAATATATGACAAACATTATGAGTTAAAATATATTGATTCAAATATATTTTCCTCGCCTGCAAGCGAAGTGAACAACAAGCTTGCAAATGAATAGATGATGGGAGGAAACGTGATAAAAAGGACTATGTCCACATATTTCACTCACCTGTCCATGAACAGCCGTAAAGCTCTACGCGCATACATACTGTGCGCATATGAGAGGTGTAAGGGATAAAACGGATTTTTGTTGCGATTATAGCTGGATCGAAGATTTGTTCCTCCTCCGAATATGGATTGTTATTGCCCACCAAAAGCTGCAACAAAAAGGAACAACGCAATTGTTAATACGCCGTATATAGACAAAAATGGTCACGATAAAGAGAAGACAAGAAAAATATGGTAACGTTACCGAGAAAAGCTGCAATTTGTATTCAACAATTTGTATCACTGTTACATATGATATTTTTGCTGAAACGAGGGGTTTTTATGTTATCATGTATACACAATGGAGACGCACGATGAAATAGTTAACTTTAGTCACACCCAGATATTTCTATTCCGGTTGAAAAGCAGGAAAACAACAAGCGCGCATTTCATAGCATCTGGTACAAAACCTGTTTTTTACACACTGTACGTATTTTTTTTTAGTTTATTATTCAGAGTATCGCGAATTTTTTATACTATACAATTTTCCAAAAGATGGTATTGAAAAAAAAAACACGGTTTTAATTCTATCGCTACACGGACTACGTATATTTTCGAATACTTTAACAGTAGCGTTTTTTTTTCAAAATCTACTCTACTGTTAGTTTAAAAAAAAATGTAATTTTTTAATTTCACATACGGTTTGAGACATGTCAAAATAATGTCTTTAGTTTGGTGTTGTAAGTTGAATTTAAAGAAAGATATTGTCTGTGATTTGTTCATGACGATGCATGAGAACATATGCAACGCGTAAAGGTTGCGTTTAGGGATAAGGCTGTCCGATATTCATTGGAACATGTTTACTGCTAAGAACGAATCTCACGGGCCGGAAGCGCCATTTTCCGGATCCGATTAGTAAACAATCGTTCGTCGTGAACCTCCTCTAAATGTAAATGCAAGCGTTAAATCTAGCCTGGAAGCACAGGCCTCCCTTTCCTCTCTTCTCTCTGCGCCGTATACACATTCGCGTCCTGCATGTCGTATCGCGTCGCAGAGACGTACATATATATAGGTCGTCGCCATCGACGAACATGAGATTAACATTGAAATACGAACGTCAGGGCGCGTCCGAGGATCACATCAAGCTCGTCGATAGGATCGACCAGGTTGTTTGAGAAACAAGGTCTTAAATTCGACATACGTATATTAGCACGTGTACTGATAGACATGTTAGGGATAATAATATACTGTATCTGCATCCATGTTCGCTTGGAGCTATGTAATTCAGTAGCTATGTCTGTATCCTGTTCTGTTTTGCATTCTGAGCATTTGGACGGATTAGCGGTTCTCATCTCCCGTTATATTCGCGTCGTAAAATTTTATCTGTAATTACAAGCTTATCTCAGCAACCTCTATAATGATAATATGCGCAACGAATGGATAATATTATTAAATAACATAGTTGTGAACTATAAAGGAGATATTGTTTATATGATAATATATCATTTCATCAATCATCATTAATATTTGTCTTACAGAATTATCTGATTTTTTCCCTTCCCTGTGTTAAGAGATTGACGACTACAACAAAGGTTTTTTAAACTCAGCTAATCAGAAGATTGATCTAGACAAATTAATATATTTGTTTTTACATCGTACTTTATAAAATAGACAGAATAGATTGAACTTGATAACTGTTCTAACGATCATTTATACTAAATTTCATATGATGCTTCTGTTTGAAAAGATTGCTAACACCTTATTTTTTTATGCTCTGCAATATATTAGGTTGCAATATATTAAAACAGAAATACATAGCACTATGAACTTTAAAATTCAAACAGCTGTAACTTCGTTAAAATAAACAAAATTTAAATTAAAAAAAAAAAGGTTTTAAAGTTTAAAATCTTTACTTTCAAAAGGTCCCTATGTGAGTTTGTGTGAGTTTGGTAATTTTTGCATGTAAAAAACTACGAAACGCGAAATTTTCTTCTCACTTTGCCTATCACGTGCCCCTAAAAAAACTTGCGAAAATTTTTGACTTTCCAACGTGAAAGCTTAGTTTTTCTTATAAAATCATTTCTTAAATATGTTTCTAAAATTTGTTGTTACTGAATTATCATAGATTAAATAAAAAAAATATTTTGACTTTGATTGCTTATAACTCTATTAAAATCATCAAACCGCAATTTAAAAAACAAATTTAGAAAAGCTGAAACTTTGCTTTATCAAATAATAAAATAATTGTCAAATTTTTTTTTAAATATAGAGACATGATATAAATGAAATAATAACTCCTGTACCAATATATATATATATATCAATGTATTGTCTATCATTCACGTTAGTACAAAATAATCTGTATTTCTGTATAGATTATAGAATCGTGTAGAGAGCGAACATGACACGTTGGATCGTCCAAACACGCTGACCGTCGTCATCCCGGAGAGCAACGAGCTCTGCGTTGAAATATGAATATTCGCGCGATACTAGTCATGTCTCTCTCTCTCTCTCTCTCTCTCTCTCTCTCTCTCTCTCTCTCTGTACCGAAAACCGAGTGCGGTCTAAACACCGTGCACAAGCGGAGTAGATATGACACAAACGCTAATATGCTCTATACACAGAAACGGACCGTGGCTCGAGCTGGACATCAGCGACCATTGGCCTTTGCTTTGATTTGTGTTACTGGCGGTGCCGCGATTAGAATTTCTAACCAGGAATCTGTTATTTCGCGTTAATCGTATAAAGTACAGTATCTGATGTCCATAGTTGCATAGTAGAGCAAAGGTCGAAATTCAGAATATCCGAGCTAGTAGAGTTTCGTTTTAGAGTTATAGAATATAATATTAGGTGTTGGAATTAATTCGTAGCGTTTTACAAGTGATGGGAAGTACTTTCATTAATGTATTTTTTAATGCTCATGTGAAATAAATAACATTCTTTCATTAAAAACGCTACGAATTAATTCCAACACCTAATAGAATATTTCATATATGTGTGTATATATATATATATATATACACACTCGTATTGCGATTTTGTAATTATTTATTCTTCCTTTATTTATTTTTATATATGCAGCTTGCGTTCTTTTTTTATTGAAGAATAGGGCAAAGATTACAGATTAATGGAAGTATTATGTAAAACACAAACATAATAAAAATAGAATATATATAAATCAGAAAATAAAATAGAACTTTTAAAATTAATTTAAATTTATCTAAATTTTATTCTTACAAGCACTATCAAATGAGCAATACTTAATATTAGTAAAATTGTGAGATTAATACGTTCATAGATGATATAGAAAGTTTGCAGCTGTAAATGGCCCACGAGTTGTAAACGGCACGCAAATGGAACGTGCCTCTTCAACGGTGGGCCGCAACGGTAGAGTGGAGTTTCCGCTATATCGGCCGTCTCGAAACGACCGACCGCGGATGCATTACAACTGCAACTGTAACGTGCTGGAATACAAGCCAGACCAGGGTCTACGCGATAGGAATAATTAATACACCTATATATAAGGACCGCCACGGGGTAAGAGACGCTTCTACGATATCGTCTCACCGACACATAAAATTGATGTCTACGCTAGCGGCAAGTAGAATCTCCTCCTGAACGCTTTGCCAGAGTCTATAATTTGTCGGCACGAAGCTGAGAATAGTTTCGATTATAGACATCACCATATCTAAGTGACATTTCTGATAATATATCAATGAATAATTGAGGAATGTATGAATAGTATATCTATATAGTCTCTATTGATATCACACTCTACTTCCTTTTATATATTTCTATATTATATACTTCTATATTTTCTTCTATATTTCCTTCTATATTATATAATGATACAGTTTTTAACTTTTAGTTGTCATTAGTCACTAAAATAATTTTAAAATAATAGATAAAAATATATCTTAAGTTGCATATTTTCTGTATAAATTGAGTTAAAAATGGCACTGTTAAAAATTTTCTTTATTTGCTTGTTTATCGTGGAAAATGATTTTTGTATTTTTCGCGAAAATATTGCTGACCATATCAAAATACGTTTTTAATAACTGTTGCGATTTTGTTCACATATGGCGATTATTACATATAATCGAAGATAAAAATTGCGCGGTATTGTGACGCTTATTGTCGAAACCCCAAAAGTACTTCATTCGTAATACCGAATAATGCGATTGTGAAGTGACAGCTGTAAAAAATGTTAACGGCTGATGTAGGAATTTTATAGGATTTCACGCCGTTACGATTATACATATATGTATATTAAATTCCACGCGTAGTGCTTTTTAATTTTAGTACATTTCAGCGTTAAAATTCGCATCATATTACGATACACTACATGGATGGATTTTAATAGTGTTTTTTTTTATTCGTACAATTAATGTTATTGATTTCGTTTATATCGCAGGACAGTCGACCTCGTTTCGCTTCAGTAATAAAAAGTCTCGCACCTTATTCTAAAATCTCCTTCCATTATAAGCACAAAGAAATGGTTCTCAGGAGAGAACCTGAGAAGATTAGTGGGTCGATCGAACGTATTTCGGTGCAAGACAACGAAAGAAGGAAAGTTATGTTACACTTGCGCATTTATGGCCACCTTGCCTTAAACCGCTTGTGATTGCTCTGTTTTAAACCCGACCGTACCACTTTAAAACAATTATAGGTATACTTTGCGACCAACAATCCCTTAAAAGTATAATTTCCCACATAAATGAGAATTTTTCCATTTACGTAGTTTTTAACATGCGTCGTAATCATTCCACGCAAATCGTCACAATCTTCTCTATTAGAAAAATTGCTCTGGTAAAATAACAGAAATGTCAATTATATTATTATATTTCAAGTTTTCGGAAAGTAATATCACAATAATTTTATCTATTTATCTTAAATAATACATAACTTTTTATACATAATTGGGATATATTGTATTTGTAATTACATCATGTTACTTTCAATCTTAATACATTACATATCATTGATCTTGAAAATTGACATAGAATTACTATTAGAATCAATGATACTAACTTAAGATGGCTTTCATTAGCTTGCCGAGGTTAGAAGGTCGAAGGCAGGTAACTCGGGCAGATGGATCGTTTTGCGGAGGTGAAAAAGCGAAACGGGCTTACGCCGCGTGTCCTATTTCCGTTCGTCCGACGTGTAGGCA